GCAGAGAAAATAGTCTCAGAAAGGGAAGCAATCCAATTAAAATTATGTAGTTAGAAAAAGTAAGAAGCATTACAACTTAGTTTAGCTCCAAATAATCACATTCTTCTGTTTTTCTTTCTTTGTTCAGAACTGGGCATTGAGCTGAGAGTCTTGAACAAGCCAGGCAAGCACTCTACTGCCAAGATATACTCAGCCCTTTGACCATTTAAAAGATCATTCTATTTGTTTGTTTAGACAGGGTCTCAATCTGTACTTCAGGCCATCCTGGAAGCCAAGCTGACCTCAAACCAACAGCGATCCTCCTGCCTCAGACTCCCAAGTACTGGGGTTGTAGACATAAGCCAAAGCTTCTGGTTTCCTAGCCCTTTTCTTACTTCTGAGTTTTTAAGATCATGTCTCACTAAATTGTCCAAGCTAGACTGGAATTCACTTACAGCTCAGACACAACTCGAACTTGTTATCCTACTATCTCAGACTCCTGAGTGGCTGGAGCTACAGACCTATGTCCACAGGTGCAGGGCTCACATTGTTACTTCCAAAAGGAGAACACTTTGCAGCTGTATTTGCCCAAGTCTATTCTGTGACCCACCAATGACACAAGACCTACCCCAAATATAAGTGAACATCACAGCCAAGCAATTTTGATAAACACCAAGCATGTCAAAGACATTGAAGTATTATATAAAAGAAACACTTAATTTATTCAATCAGCTTTTCTGCACACTGTTAACTACCAAGCCTACGTTCTTCTCTTTACACTTGACATTTATTACTGCTGATTGAAACTAATTAAAATAATCTGGTACATGCTTAAAGGACTGAAAGACGAGGAAAAGTTGGAGAGCTTTACATTGGAGATTAAGCTTATGAAGTAATTAAGGTTAAAAAGCAACAGGGAAGCATTTTCAAAAGATGCAGTCTGTGCTCCTGGGGTAGCTGTGGGATGGGGTGGTGGGTGGGTGGGTGGAGAGAGTCAGAGGCAAAAAGGGAAACAGGCATGAAATAATGCAGCATATTTCCAATGCAAGTTTGTAGTTATGTGGGTTGAAGTGACAGAGAGGATTTGCCATAGAAAGGAAAGCTTGAGCTGGCCGGACGGATATTCAGATTTCGATCGAGGCCAGGTGTGGTGACATATTCCTGTAATAAGTGAAGAGAGGCAGGGGGTTCCTAAGTTTAGGACCAGTCTAGATCATTAGCAAGAATGTCTCAAAAAACAAACAAACGGAGCGAAAGATGTAGTTCAGTGTTCGTCTAGCATGTGCCATGCCTGAGTTCAATCCCTGGCAACACATAAAGCCTCCTGCAGTGGTACACAGCAATAATTCCAACTTGCAGGACATGGGGGCAGGGAGATCAGCAGTTTAAGGTCATCCCAGGCCACATTAGAAGGTAGATTCTGTATCAAAACAAACAAACAAACAAGCAAGTGGTGCGGATCTGCCAGGTGATGGTGGCTCACATCACACCTTTTAAAAAAAATCCCAGTATTCAGGAGGCAGAGGCAGGCAGATCTCTTAGTTGGAGGTCAGCCTGGTCTACAAAGTGAGTTCCAGGACAGCCAGGGCTGATACCCAGAGAAACCCTGCCTCAAAATACAAAAACTAACAAACAAACAAACAAGAGATGAGGATGCAATTAAGTGATAGAAAATAAAATGGGGAGAGAAAAGGATGCAAAAAGGCAAGACACAATGGGGAAAAAAAAGAAATTATTCTCAGGAGGTTTGTAGGTAAATAGAACAGGTACGGTGCCATGGAATAATCCTCTTGTACACTGTAAAGATTTGTCACTCAAATTGGTTTAACAAAATGCTGACTGCCTAGTATCCAGACAGGAAATATAGGTGGGGCAGCCAAAGTAAGGATGATGGGAAGGAGAAAGGCAGAGTCAGAGGAGTCAGAGCAGGAGACGAACGTGCCATGCTAGTAAAGGTAACCCACATGGCAAGGCATAAACAGAAATGTGGGTTGGTTTAAGTGTAAGAGTTAGCTAGTAATAAGCCTAAGCACTTGTAACTCACATTTAGCCTTTGAGTCAGTTATTTGGGACTGGGTAGTTGGGAAAGAAATTTCCGTTTACAGTATGATTGACTCCGTTTTTTGATAGTCAATCACAGGAAAAAATCAGTCTGTTAGTAATGATGGAAGAAAAGATTAAAATCTGAAAGACTGTGTATTGGTCATATTAGGTATGATGGGACAGATTATTGAATTTTACAATCTAAAGGGATTTTTAATTATTTTAATTTTTTATATGTACAAGTATTTTGCCTGTATGTGTACCAGAAGGGTGCCTGGTGCCCGTGGAGGTCAGAGGGAATGCTGGATTCTGGGAACTGGAGTTACAGAAGGCAAGCCACCCTTTGGATGCTAGAAATCCAATTCTGGTCCTCTTGGAGAACAGCCAGTACTTTTAACTGCTGAGCAATCACTCTGTAGAACTCTAGGATAACTCTGAAGCCATTTCTGAGGCCTCTCAGCAGCAGTGCTCCCGCTCCCCTGGGAACCTAACAACTGCACCTGCACATACTCCTTGTGAGTGTTCTCCAAATAGAGCTCTGTTCCTGGAATTGGGACAAGATAACCCACAGATGTCCACAGATATTTTGACTCAGTCCCTGGGAAGGGGGCAAAGTGACCCTCGGATGTTCCCTCTTACCTCACCTGATCTGGCAACTGCTCTCCAGCCAATTATTGGTAATAGCCCTTTGAATAAGCCAATCCCAACAGTTAAAAAACAACCCCCGAGTTTCCCCCCCCCCTTGTTTCTATGGCTTTTTGCTTTAAAAATAGCTTGTGACAGTTGTTCAGGGTCTTTTGGCTTCTCGAATGCTGAAAGACCCTGTGGCGACAGAATTAAATCCTCTTGCTTTTACATCAACTTCAGTGTGAGAGTGTTTTCTTGGGGCAACTCCTCAGTAATTGGACTCTAGGGTCCAACAACCTCAGCTACTTTTACTACCAAAGGACTTTTCTAACATTAATAAACGTCAGCCTAAAGAATCAGTCAGTTCTTCACTTTGGTTCCCTTGGTCTTCAGATGATTGACAGCTAAAGCCCAGAAATCACCTTATTTCCCTGTTACACCAGCAGAATTCCCAGGCTGAAAATCTTTGTCTTCTTCCCAAAGGATGGAAATGTAGGCTGTGGAGGAAGGCAAGGACAGAAGCTAACATGTATATGGGACAAAGGGATGCTTTCTGTTTGAAGGGTCTGTTTAACGGGGCTCAAGGCGATCAGATGTCCTGAGCTCAATCCCCAGCATCAAATGGGCATCACTCAGTTGGTAGAGTATTTAGCATTCACGAAGCCCTGAATTTGATCCTCAGAAGCACCCAAAACTTACGGGGACGGGGGTGCATTACTGTAATCCCAACACTAGGGTTAAGGCCAACGGTACACGAGACAGTCCTTCCTTCCTTCCTTCCTTCCTTCCTTCCTTCCTTCCTTCCCTCCCGAGACAGGGTTTCTCTGTGTAATAGTCCTAGCTGTCTTGGAACTCATTTTGTAGTCGAGACTGACCTTGTACTCGCAGAGATCCTCCTACCTCTGACTCTCCCAAATGCTGAGATTAAAGGTGTGTGTCATCACCACCTGTCCTAACACAACCCAGTCACCACCAGCAACACCACACCAGACCACACAGCTCTTACTGTGAAGCCATCCTCTTTAACTTTGTCCTGCCACGATTTAGAATACTACCTCGGGCAAACAAACTTTGTAGCTTGCTGTGGATAAAGAAAAAACCATAAAGGTAAAAATAGTATGTTTCTAAGAGGCAGCTTTATCTCAAAAAACACATAGGGAGAAAGTAACGAAGATAGGCTTTACTGATTAAAACAGCTCACTAATATCCTCTGCCCACTCTCTTTCCTGATCCCTCTGTTTGTTTGAGACCTGTAACCCTGGAACTCGAAATGCAGAGCAGGCTGGCCTTGAACACATAGAGATCCTCCCGACTCTGTCTGAGTTTTCTGCAACTCAGTATTTGTTTGAAAAGTATTTGGTGCTAGAAGTATCTTTTCAAGGAAAGAAATTAATAATCTACAGAAGAAATCCCTGAGGCGAACTGCCAAAATGATACAGTCCAGAAATGATACAGTCTTCATTTTCACTGCAGTTAAAGAATTAAAATGTGGCACATGCCTTTAATCCCAGCAGTCGGGAGGTAGAGGCAGGCGGATTTCTGTGAGTTGGAGGCCAACCTGGTCTACAAGAGCTAGTTCCAGGACAGGCTCCAAAGCTGTCTCGAAAAACCAAAAAAAAGAAAAAAAAAGAAAAAGGCTATATGTAGTCTTCCTCCCTAGGGTCAGTCAGTTTGAAGACAGATAAGACAGTTGATTGACTGATCCCATATTGTTGTGTGATGTGTCCTGATCAGGCCTTAACCTTACCAAACCAGACCATAGGCAGGGGGTTGAGGAAGAAGCTGGCTTGCTTGGAAATTCGCCACAGCCTTTCTCCCTATCTGTCTGCTTACTAAGGAGTCTAATCCCAGTCTCTCAATACTAACAAATGAAAAAACAAATCAAAAAGGCAACATAGGTTTGGCGTCTTGGAACCCAGAGCTTCCTGCTTGCTAAGCACGTGCGCAAGCAGAATACACCCAGGATCTGATAGATGACAAAAGATTAGACTTTTTGAAAAAATGAGTAAACGTTTCTCAAGTCTGGGGTACGCTTTTTGCATGAAAAGTCGGAGCACGGAACGGAAAACACGAGGCAAGTGTAGCAGTCAAAGAGGAAAGATGATCGCTTGGCTGCCAGCAGGAATCGCCGCCAGAATACCCGGGGCCACGAACTTGGCAAAGCCTGCCACTCCCTACGCCACGCCCATCACGCAAAGCACCGTGGGACTTGTAGTCTTTCTCCTATCCACTCCTAGGAGGCGGGGAGACCCTGCCTTTTACGTAAATGAACCTTTCTTCCCAAAGCAGTCTGCCATTTCTCCCTTTCCGCAAGGCCTAGCAGGGAGAGTTTGAAAATTCCCGCGGAGTCGGCACCCGAGGCCGGAACCCTCGCGAGAAGTCCGGGCCCCGCAGCGCGATCTGCGCTCGGCTCCCCGCCCTGGCCGCGATCCTTCTCTCGGCGGAGAGGCGGTGTGTGGGGTTCGGGCAGTACGCCCGGGTTACTGCGCAGAGCGCGGCCCGCGCAGTGCCAGCCCAGTAAATCGAGTCGCCAGCGGCGCGGACGCGGCGCTGGCAGCGGCCGAGTTCGAAGCCGGGATTGGACGGCCAGGCCGAGGCGCTCCCCGGGGCCTGAGGGGGTCGGAGAGTGGCTGAGCGTGAAGCGGCTTCCGCGGGCGGGGGCGCGCGCCGGGCCGTGTCTCCCGGGAGATGCTGTGACGGACTGCACGGAAGGAGCAGGCGCCGCGGCTCTCGGCGGCCTGGCCCGCGGGCTCAGGTAGGACGGGGAGCGGGAGGCCCGCGCGCCGAGGGCGGGGCTGTCGGGACGGTGAGGCCCGGGCCTAGGCCGGGCGCTCCGCCGCGCGGGGAAAACGGCGTCCGCGAGCCGCGACCGGTGCGGCTCGTTCCGGCGCTCGGGCGTTAGTTACATAACCTCGGTGGCGAGTGCTGGCACATGGCGGCAGAGTCGCGGCTCCGCGCTTATCTCCCGCGCCCGTGGTCCGGATCTCGGCCGCCCGGGGCGGGCCTGACTCAAGACCCCGACCCGTCTTGGTGGAGCGGGTCGACGGAGACCTTTGTGGGGCGTTCCCCGCAGACAGCGGCGGGCGCTCTGAGTCTCTCCTACGTTGGCGTGTGCTCCACATGGTCCTGTGCTTGGCTCCGGTGAGTCCTGGGCGGCGAACAAAGTTTGACTCGCGGTGGCGGGTCGTGCGGGCCACAGGAGTGAATGGATCTGGTACAGCTCCTTTAAGATGACTGTGTCAACAGCTCTTCTGCGAGCTTTAGGGGCGATTACTTTTGCCTTTGGTTGACTTTTCGGGGAGTCGGTTATATTTGCTTTTAGAATTGATAGGTGGACGCGATCTGAGACAGGTGGTTTTTGTTGACTTTGTGGAACGGTTCTTTTTGATACCGTGAAGGATCGCATTCTGGTCCTCACATGCCAGGCAAGCGCTCTGCCACTGAGTTGTGTCCCCAGCATGGGATCGGTTGATTTTTGGTTCCCCAAACGAACGGCATTCATTCTAGAGGTGTGTTGTTATAGGAAAATGAGCGTTGTTATTTTTGTTTATTTTTGATGCCAGTGATCGAAAAGCTACCACCTCGCGCATCTTAAGCACGCGCTCCACCACCGATCTCTACTTCAAGCGCTGGCCTTTTGTTTTTGTTTATAAAAACTTGACAGTTGGAGACACATTTCAAAGAATGTGGGTTCTTTAGAACGAAACATAATTTGGCTCTTGATATCCTAAAGAATCCACGGGCTTTAAGAACTGTCTTTGAGCTTTGACTGTCAGCTTCTTGGAAGACGGAAGTTACTGGAGTGAGTTTACTTATTTCATGTGGTGTTGGACAAACGCTATGTGAAGACTATTCTGTGATTTATTTTGTACTTTTGGTGGTTCTGGGGATTGAATCTATGACCTCATACTACACTGCTAGGCGCAGGAACCATCATTGAGCTACTCTCTTTTTACTTTTCTTTCTTTTTAGAGACAGTCATCCTACGTAGACCAGACAGTCTTTATGCACGCCCCTTCCCTCAGCCTGGGAAATAGTGGGGATTACAGGTGTGAGGCACGTTGTAACTTAGTATTCAAATGTTACCAATTTTGCAAGGCAACCTAATTCTTTTGTAAACATTTAAAGTTGGGGCATATATTTCCATTTAAATAAAACATTGCCCTTTTAGATCCTAACTTCATAAATTAAAGGACTCCAAGAATGAAGTGTTCTCCCGGGTAGCTTGTCTGTTAGCATCTCTGTAGAGTGTCTATTCCGGCCAGCCTTATCTCACGGATTTTTTATTTCAGCCACACAGAATCAGCACCAGTCCTAGGCTCACATTCTTCAAAAGGTGTTTGACCCTCAGTTTGGCATGCCAGCTTAACTTTTTTAAATTCTCACGTTTTAAATCCTGCCCCTAAGTACCACCTTTTGGCTATATTCTTTTTTTAATCTCAGTTTGTTTTTCACAGCATATGTATCTCTGTTGTAGCATTTATCCCTGTGTCTGATAGTGTGATTATGAAGCCCTCTTGTAGAAAGTGGACTTCTGGAGGTCAGGACATAGATCTCTGCCCTTGAAGTCTACTTTTCCCAGGAATGATGGTGGGAAATGGAGGTGGAAAATTTAAGGAGTTCAGGTCCAGCCCAGGCTTCATGAAATTCCGCCTGAAAATGACAAGCAAAGAGTAAAGCAGTGGGTGATTAATGTTTGGATTAAAATAGAAAGAAATGGTCCACTTGCTCTTAGATCAGATACTGTCTTTGGTGGTAGAATTCATTTACTTTGGATATGTACATATTTCACTTCAAAAACTGGTTTATGGTATTTTGTTTAAATGTCTTAGCCTTATAGATTTTGTTCTTCATAATATTTAAAAAATAGAAGAAGCCAGGCAGGGGTGGCGTACGCCTTTAATCCCAGTACTTGGGACACAGAGGCAAGCAGATCTCTTGAGTTCAAGTTCAGCCAGGTCTTCAGAATGAGTTCCAGGGCAGGCTCCAAAGCTACAGAGAAACCCTGTCTCGAAAAAAACCAAAAAAATAAATAAAGTAAAAGACTAAATATTGAGGGTTTTTTAAATTACATTTATAATTTATTTTGACACATACCTTTAATCTCAGTGCTTAGGAGGCAGGAGGAGGAGAATTTGAGGCCAATTTGTTTTACAACGCAAGTTCTTTCTCCCTTTTTTTTTTATCTGATTATACATAGTAGGCTGCTTCAGATTGGATTCTAATTCACCCTGCCTTGTCTTTTTACTGTTATGAGTCTTGAAATTCATGAATGAAAATCTAGTGTAGTTTTCCCCTCTCTACATTAAACTTAATCTTGCTGTCTTTTTCAAGTGATTTTTTTTTTAACCTGCTTCTTTACCTTTTGGACATTGAAGCTGTTGCTGAAGCAGCAAGCTTGTATAGTAATTTTGACAGCATAGACTAGAATTAATAGCTGTGAACTTTATTTTTAGCTAAGGTCTTACAGTACATCCTTAGCTGGTCTAAAACTTACCATCTAGGCCAGACTGGCCTGGAAATTGTGCCTCCCAAACATCAAGATTATAGGTTGGTGGCACCATGTTTAGCCTGAGGAGTCTGCCTCTTTGGAACTCAGAGTGCATTAAACAAGATAGGCACACCAGGACTAGATTTGATAGTTAATATTCAAGACTAAAGCCAACTTGTCTCAGGATTCTATTGTCTATCTCCCTCCCATCCTCTCTGCTTTTCATCTCAATCATTCAGAAAGATGCTTTTGTATTTAACCAGAATTTTTGGTTTTATTTTGTATGTATGGGTGTTTTGCCTGCATGTGTGTATGTGAACCACACACGTGCTGCAAACCTGGTGCCTGTGGAGGTCAGAAGAATGCATTGGATCCCCTGGAACTGGAGTTGTATTGGTGGTTGTGAGCCACCATGGTGGTACTGAGAACCAAACCCGTGTCTTCCCCCAAAAGCAAAAAGTGTTCTTAACCACTGAACTGTATATCACAGCCTTACTTTTTGGTTATTTACAACAGAAGTCACAAAGGGACTTTAGTCTTGTAAAAGAAATTAAAGATAATTTAGATTTTTTTCCTTTCTATCTAGTAAAAGACAGATATTAGATTCAATTTTTGAGGTTTTGCTGGGGATTTTGAACATTACAGAGTCCCCCCGCCTTTTTATTAACTGAAAAAATTTTCAGGGTTGAAAATGTTAGTGCAGAGGTATTGGGTTTAATTCCCAGCATATTAAAAGGAAAAGGAAAGAAGTGTGGAAAAAGAGGTAACTCCGTGGGATAGTCCCCTGTTTACCTGAAGTATTTTTTAGGAAATATACATGTACATGTATATGTATATGTATGTGTATATATATATATATATATATATATATATATATTGGTTTTTTTCGAGACGGTTTCTCTGTGGCTTTGGAGCCTGTCCTGGAACTAGCTCTGTAGACCAGGCTGGTCTCGAACTCACAGAGATCCGCCTGCCTCTGCCTCCCGAGTGCTGGGATTAAAGGCATGCACCACCACCGCCCGGTGGAAGTAGAATTTTGTAGCGGGACTATGTTAGACCCATATGTACACACATACCTTACTTTGTTTACTGTTGTATGTGGCTCACTTTCCCTCACATCCATCTGACAAGAAATAATGAAGTGTACTGTTCACTAGAACAAATATACTAATTTTATTTTTAAAAAACTATTTACAGTGGAAGCATGCAAGACTTAACAGCTCACGTGACGAGTGATCTCCTGCACTTCCCAGAAGTGACTGTTGAAGCTCTCGGGGAAGATGAGATAACACTAGAGTCCGTGCTGCGTGGGAAGTTTGCTGCAGGTAAAAACATGGATGAAGGTTCACTATTTTGGGACTACAGCTCAGTGGTAAAGCGTTTGCTGCCTGGCCCTACTCACAGTCCTACATTTAGTTTCCATTACACTTCACACGGACATGCACACCTATACATACATGCACATACATATACACACAACACACATGTGTATGCACAAATGACCGCATGCACGAATGCAGAAGGGTCTCAACAGTTAAGAGCACTTGCTACCTAATCATGAGATCAGAAGGTGAGATGTTGGGCCACTCATAAACCAATAATTTCAGCTTCGAGAGATCTAACATTGTTTTGGCCTCCATAGGTAATCTCATACTCTCATACAGAGACAAATACATCCACACATAAGTGCAATAAAATAAGTCTTTTTATTTGTTTTTATTTTTCAAGACAGGGTTTCTCTGTGCAACAGCCCTGGTTGTCCTGGAACTTAGCTCTTGGAGACCAGGCTGGCCTCGAACTCACAGAGATTCTCCTATCTCTGCCTCTCAAGTGCTGGGATTAAAGGCATACGCTACCACTGCCTGTCTAAATAAATCTTTTTTTTTTTTTTTAAGAAATTTACCAGTTAAGTTTTTAAAAAAGTATTTATTAGCATCTATTAAAAACCAACTTAGAATATTATATAATACCTATAGTTAGGTATGTAAAACTATATTCTTTGGAACAATCATTAAATTTATGGGGCAGTGTATTCTAATTGTTTTTCTTATTTAAAACTCAGTGGGATGGGGAGAAAATTCATTATAGGCATGAAGACCTGAGTTCCCAAATCTGCAACATATATGTAAAAGTAGGGCATAGTAGTATATACCTAATCCCAGCATTGCTGTGAGGAGATAGGTCCTCCCCAGCCATTGTAGTCAAAATGGGGAGCTCCAGATTCAATGAAAGACACAAAAATAAGGTGGAGAACCGTAAAAGATACCCAAAGTTAACTCCTGGTCTCCTTATGAGCAATTACACATACACACATGTATATACACATGCCTAGCTATACACCTATAACCCTGGCATTGTGTGGATGGGGCAGAAAGATCACTGGGGCTTGCTGTCTGCCATCCTAGTGCCAAATTCAGTGAGAGGCCTTGTCCCAAGGGAATGAAACAGGACACCCAATACCTCCCTCTGGCTTATGCACTCATTGATATGTGCAAATGCCTATAACCTCATTTTCTTATCTGGGAAGACGTTAATGGTTCTAAAAAAAATATTTCCCTGCAAAAAATTAGAATGCTTATTATAAACTTTTAGGGTTTTGTAGTTTTTATTATAAACTTTTTTAGTAAGTAAACTCTTAATTTATTATTGTTAGGGTGCCTTAAATCTCAGGAGTCCGCCTACGGCTGGCCTTCCAGGGAACAAGGCCATGTTGGCTTCTTAACATAGGTACATTTTAACATTTTCTTCTCTCAGCAATAGAAGAAGAAATGACAAAAAACAAAACCAACTAAACATCCAAAACTGAAAGGATATACCAGCCACCTGACATTGTGGTACTATTCATTTCTTGAAGAGACTGTATGTCAAAATGTAAGGTGTGCATATATTTCAAATGGTACAAAGTAATACTAGATTCAAATTAGAAGATGGCCGTTCATCATGAACCTCTAAAATTTCCACTGAGAAAAACTATATACGTGGATTTATTTTTTTAGGGTTTTTTTTGAAATAGGAGTGTCATGTGCCATGACATATATGTACATGGAGGTCAGAGGACAGCTTTGTCAGAGTAGTCCTGTTATTCCAAATGTGAGTCTCAGGGATTGAAACCAAATCATCAGGTCTTCACACACTGAGTCATCTTGCCAGCCTGAAAAGTCTCTCTTTAAAAGGCCATTTTTGCTGGGCAGTGGTGGTGTATGCTTTAATCCCAGCACTCTGGTGGCAGAGACAGATCTTTAGTTCAATACCAGACTGGTCTACATAGTGAGTTCCAGGAGAGCCGGGACTACATAGAGAAACCTTGTCTCAAAACAAAACAAAAAGCTATTTTCTTTTCTCTTCACACTCCCACCCCCACCCCCACCCCAGGACAGGGTTTCTCTGTAGCTTTGGAGCCTGTCCTGGAAACTAGCTCTTGTAGACCAGGCTGACCTCTTAACTCACAAAGATGCCTGCCTCTGCCTCCCGAGTGCTGGGATTAAAGGTGTGTACCACCACCACCCAGCAAAAGCCATTTTCAATGGTGTTGTCAATTTTGAGGGGCTGGAGAGATGGCTCAGGGATTAAGAGCATTGCCTGCTCTTCCAAAGGTTCAGAGTTCAATCCCCAGCAACCACATGGTGGCTCACAACCATCTGTAATGGTTCTGGACTGCAGACATACACACAGACAGAATATTGTATACATAATAAACAAATAATTTAAAAATTTTTTAGTCTTATTTGCTATGGGGTGTCTAATTACACGCAGTAGTAAAGATTTATTTTTTATGTTTTGAATGTTTTGGTTGCATATATGCATGTGTACAGTGTCAGTACAGGGCCCTCTTGCAGGTCACAATTTGCTGGTGACTCCTTGTCAGTTCTTCTGGTCAGAGTCTCCCCAGCAGGAGGAGCCCCATAACTCTTGCAAGTTTAGCTTTCCCACCTGGGTACAAGTTTGTTTACTCTTTAAATCTCCTGGGGATAGGGTTTCCATTAGAAGAAAATTGTTACAGGATAATAATGGGCATTGCCATGATAGTAGTAAAGTTACCGTCATTCATCTAGTAGTTGCTCACATGAAAATGTAGGCTCTGTTTAGTTTGGGTTTTGTTTTTCCTTGACACAAGATCTCACTACATAGTTCCCTTCTTGATGTGTCTCCTAAATACTGGGATTACAAGCATGCCCCACCATATCCAGTTTAGGGTTTATTCTTAATTTTTTTTGTTTGTTTGTTCTTTGTTTTAAGTTTTTGCTTAGTGGGTGAGTAACATTCAACAAATTAGATTGGTATTTACCTACTTTGGGCTATCCAGTGACTTTAAAGACAGAGGAATGCAATTTGGATAGGATTAGGAGACAAAGAGGAGATTCTGATATTTTCTGTTGTTATCTTCTAAGTTTATAAACTCTAAGATTACCACAACTCCTGTTTTGTAGTTCTTATGTCTCTGAAGTGTTGGGTTTTCCAAGGCGTGCCACAATACCTGGTCTTAGGAGCTACTTATGTAGACTTGGGTTAATTTTTTACCTATATGACTTTAGATAAGTTAAAATGCATTAAACTTGAGGTTATGTTATGTTCTACTGAGCTGTGATAAGGAGTAAATAAAATGATGAATTTGGGTACTTGATTTGTTATGTTGCAGTGATTTTGCTTTTTTCTCCATAGGGAAAAATGGACTAGCATACTTAGCTTGTGGTCCACAACTTGAAAACTCTCTAACCGGAGAGCAGTTATCTGCATATAGATTCAATGGAGTAAATGAACAGCCTCCTGTAGTCCTTCTCTTTAGTGCTTGATTTTGTTTGTTTGTTTGGTTTGGTTTTTTTGAGCCGTGGTTTCTCTGTGTAGCTTTGGAGTCTGTCCTGGATCTAGCTGTTGTAGACCAGGCTGGCCTTGACCTCACAGAAATCCTCCTGCCTCTGCCTCCCAAATGCTGGAATTAAAGGCGTGTACCACCACCGCCTGGCTAGTGCTTGATTTTATATGTTGTAGTTGATCTTTATTTTATTTATATTTGAGAATCACTGTACTTTGTAAATGCTTTGCTTTCCTTTCAGGAGGGATTTGTGATTGTTTGTGTAATAAAGTTAAGTATTCATATCTAAAAGAGCTAACTACTAGATTTGTTGTGTTGCAGTGGCATTGCAATAAACAGTGATTTTGCTTCTTTTTTTTCTCCATAGGGAAAAATGGACTAGCATATTTAGCTTGTGGTCCACAACTTGAAGTTGTAAACTCTCTAACCGGAGAGCGGTTATCTGCATATAGATTCAATGGAGTAAATGAACAGCCTCCTGTAGTCCTTGCAGTGAAAGAATTCTCTTGGCATAAGAGAACTGGATTGTTAATAGGATTGGAAGAAGCAGAAGGGAGTGTTCTGTGTCTTTATGACCTTGGAATATCAAGAGTGGTCAAAGCTGTTGTTCTTCCTGGAAGGGTATGTACTATTTAAGATACTTTTGCTCTCTAGACTGAAAGCTTACAAGATGTGTTTACCTTAAAGACTATTTTAACTGTACCTTTACAATTAATATTTTCATGTAATTATCACCTTCAGTATAAAGTTCAAAATTTATTTTTAAAGGTGGTGTGTGTGTGCACGCACATGCATCACATGCTCGTGTGGAGGTCAGAGGACTCGACCTTCTCCTTTTCCTTTTATGTGGATCCTAGGCATCAGATTCAGGTTGTCAGACTTGTATCATTGTCACCATCTTACCAGCCCCTTCAGAAATTCTAATTTAAGATGACCAGGCATGGTGGTACACTCACATCCTCACTCAGGAGCAGAGACAGGTGCATCTCTTGAGTTCAAGGCCAGCCTCATCTATGTGTATAGTAAGTTCCTGGTAAGTTAGGGCTACACAGTGAGACCCTGTCTTAAAAAAATAAAGTAAAACAATAAAAAAACTGAGTATAAGTCATTTAGATTGTCTGTACCCCTCTTTTAAAAGATTTTGAAATTTATACTGAGTGGTGTGGTGGTGCAGGCCTTTAGTCCCAGCACTCGGGAGGCAGAGGCAGTGGGATCTTTGTGAGTTGGAGGCCAGCCAGGTCTACAAGAGCTAGTTCCAGGGCAGGCACCAAAGCTACACACAGAAACCCTGTCTCAAAAAAACCAAGATTTTGAAACTTAATTTGTTATGAGTGTTTTGTATACATATGTGTCTGTATACTGTATGCATGCAATAACCATAGAGGCTAGAAGAAGGTATTGAATTTTCTGGAACTGAAGTTAAAGATGGCTATTAGCCATCATTTGGGTACTGGGAATTGACCCCTGCACCTCTGAAAGAGCAGCCTAATTAGCCATTTCTTCAGCCCTGGTTTTACCGCCTTTGGTAGAAAATACAACGAACATCTTGTCTGGGGTGGTGTGCACATTGGCTCTTTTGCCATTATGTTATTTGGAAGGTTTCTTAGTCACTGTTTAGTTGTTGTTGAAGAGACACTATGACCAAGGCAACTCTTAGAAAAGAACACATTTAATTGGGGACTTGCTTACAGTTTCAGAGTCTTAATATGGAGGGAGCATGGTGGCATGCAGGTAGGCATGGAGAAGTATTTGAGAGCTACTTACAACCTGATCCATAAGCAGAAAGGCTCAGACAATCTGAGCCTTTGTGGGCTTTTGAAACCTCCCCCTCTCCTCCCTGTAACACCCTTCTTCCTACAAGGCCAAATCCACTCCAACAGGGAAACACTTCCTAATCCTTTTATTCTTTTCAAACAGGTCTACTCTCTGGTGACTAATCAAATAGATGAGTTTGTGGGGGCATTCTTACTCAAACCACCACAGAAGGTTAAACTAAAATTTTCTGGAATAATTAGTTTACATTGGGTAATTCTAAAGTGACTGCTTAAGAGTGATAAAATAAAACATTATAGGTTTATGTTGTATAGTTAACAAATTTATGATTTTTAGGTTTGTGTTCCAAGCTTCAATTTCATCTTTAAACAGATAATTGCATATAGTTCAGTAAAAAGATTATATAAACATTAAGTGAGCATTTATTAAATGACAAGCATAGACTAAGCTATCAATAAACATCAGTTAATTTTATTTGTTTGTTTGTTTATTCTGTTTTTGAGACAGGGTTTCTCTGTAGCTTTGGTGCCTGTCCTGGCAATTGTTCTGTAGATCAGGCTGGCCTCAAACTCACAGAAATCCACCTGTCTCTGCCTCCCAAGTGCTGGGATTAAGGGCGTGCGCCACCACCACCTGGCCAGTTTTTTATTATATTGAAATAATAGCATAATTATGTAGTACAACTGAGAATTCAACTATGTTTAGAATTTATAAATGTCATGCAGTTATGATTCTATGTAATGTTTACTTATTTGTTATACAGTTGGTTTTATTTCCTCACTTTAAAAAAGCTAATCCCATATTCTGGTTCCTAGGTAACAGCTATTGAGCCTATAATTAATCATGGAGGAGCCAGCGCTAGTACCCAGCATTTACATCCAAGTCTTCGGTGGCTTTTTGGAGTGGCAGCTGTGGTAACTGATGTTGGACAGATCCTTCTTATTGACCTGTGTTTGGATGACTTGTCCTGTAGTCAGAATGAAGTAGAGGCATCAGGTAATTTAGTTACTTTTTTTTTTTTTTTTTTTTTTTTTGAGACAGGGCTTTTCTGTGTATCCCTAGCTGTCCTGGGACATGCTCTGTAGACCAGGCTGGCCTTGAACTTACAGAGTTCTGCCTGCCTCTGCCTTCCAAGCCTATTTAATGAGACTTTCTCAAGAAAAATGGAAGGAAATGGTAAAAGGCTAATTATTTATTTCCTTATATATTTTTAAAATTTTCATAAGTGTTTTTTCCTGCATATACTATGATGACATTAGGCATTCTGGGAACTGGAGTTGTATGCATGTAAAGAGAGCTCAGGAACGTCTTTGTGGATTCAGTCCTCTTCTTCTTGTCTTTATTTTAAAATCTTTTATTTTGTATACATGTATGTGTGTATGTATAAGAGGACATGTGTGCCATGGCATACATGTGAAGGTCAGAGGACAAGTTGCAGGAGTTGGTTCTCTCTACCATGTGGATCCCAGGAATTGAACTCAGGTCATTCTTAGTGGCAGGTGTTTTTTGTCAGGTGAGCCATCTTGACAAGCCCCATATACACCTTTACATGGAGTCTAGGAATTGAACTCTGTTGGCTCTTACTTGGTTCTTTTTTTTTTTTTTTTTTTTTTTTTTTTTTTGGTTTTTCGAGACAGGGTTTCTCTGTGGCTTTGGAGCCTGTCCTGGAACTAGCTCTGTAGACCAGGCTGGTCTCGAACTCACAGAGATCCGCCTGCCTCTGCCTCCCGAGTGCTGGGATTAAAGGCGTGCGCCACCATCGCCCGGCCTTACTTGGTTCTTAATCTTATTTTTTTTTTTTTTTTATTTTAGACCTTGAAGTTATAACTGGTATCCCCGCTGAAGTACCACACATCAGAGAGAGCGTAATGAGAGAAGGACGCCACCTGTGTTTCCAGTTAGTAAGCCCATCAGGAATATCCATTTCTACTCTGAGTTACATCAACAGGACAAATCAGCTTGCTGTAGGCTTTTCTGATGGCTACTTAGCACTTTGGAATATGAAAAGCATGAAAAGAGAGTAAGTATAATTCTTTCTCTGAGTTGATTGGTTTTTTTTAAATATAATGTGTTATTTGAAAATTACTATGAGAAAAATGACAGAATAGTTTTATTGAATTAAGTCATGGTTTGATAAGGGAATTAGTTAGCCTGTGAGTTTGGGTTGGTGTGTGTGCATATACATATGTCACAATGTGCATATGACTGTTAGGACAACTTGCAGGAGTCTCTTCTCTCCTTATACCATGTAGATCCCAGGGATTAAATTCAGGCCATCAGACTTCATAATATATTGTCTATAGGCTGAGCCATCTCATAAGGCCGCGTCTACTGTTTTTATAGTAGAAAATTGACTTAAACCCAAAGGGCAGCTAGTCTTGGATAAATGTCATCATGTCTCTAGCGCTGAGGAAATAGAGGCAGAAGAACAAGGAGTTTTGGGCTAGCTTCAGCTACTTAACTAATCTGAGAGCAGCTTAGGTGATATGAGACTGTCTTGAAGAAGCAGATGAACAAGCAGCAGTGATGATAAAATTCCCAATGGTTAATCTGGAATATTGTGGCAGTTCTATCTCTTCTACTCTTTGAGGAATGATATGGTATGGTGTGTATTCATGTGACTCTTAAAAGCTAGTTATCACATAAGTATACACGTGTGATTTAGCAGTTGTCATCCCTGTTCTACCTGGGGGTTTTACCCTCCCTTGTGTTCTTGAAGGTAAGATGACTTAAGTCCCCCAAATCACTGAATTTAGGAACATATAGACAGCGCCTTCTTAACTCAGATTTTTATACAAGGCACTTTTCCCCCAAAGATAAAATTTTAACTTAAAAATAAGCAATGAATTATTCTGTTTGTTTTAGGTATTATACACAGCTAGAAGGTGGAAGGATTCCTGTCTATGCAGTTGTTTTTCAAGAACCTGAGAATGATCCTCGTAATTGCTGTTACTTATGGGCTGTTCAGTCCACACAAGATAGGTTAGTATTTTTAAAAATACATGTCATGAAGGCTGAGGGTATAGCAGGAGAGGAGTCAAACTGGAACTGTTCGTTTGTGACATTTGAATACATCACCACTGCCAGATGTGATGGTACCACACTTTGTGCTCTGTGCACATTGTACCTGATTCATTTGGTGTCTTGTTTCATGTTCTTGTTGTACTCTCTCGTGTGGAGCTTGATCTTCATAGGTAAGAGTGTGGAGGAAAAAGAACACGTCTCTGAAGGGATGCTCTCTGTAGTTGCCATGGTATGGTTCTGTTCATACTCTTAGAGGCCAGGACTTAGTGTGGGGCAAAGGAAGGTAGGAAATGCAGTTGATAGTTTTAGGCAGCCATATATTTAAAATATACTTACTGAAGGAGGAATATCCAGTAGAATTTGTCGCATGCATTCGATGTGTTATGTAAGCTCCATGTTTTAGTGTTGTGGGTAATTTCTCTTTTCTTTCAGTGAAGGGGATGTTTTGAGTTTGCATCTGCTTCAGCTGGCCTTTGGTGACAGAAAATGCTTGGCGTCAGGGCAAATCTTATACGAGGTAAGTGGTTAATTAGACTATTACCATTTTGGGGGTTTAGTTTTGTTTTCTGTTCTTTGCTTTGTCGTATTGAAGTTTCTTATTCAAATGAAAGTTGTATTTATCCTATAGTGGAAGAAATACTAAGTTAGTGAGCATGAGCTTTCTAATATTTTTTACCTAGTTTGCCATTGCAGTTCTCTAAATTTTTCTGGGTATTTCCCCCCAGAATAGAGAGATTGGACTAGATTGATGTTTATGACCTAACTGTAATACCCAGCAGACTTTTTCCTAGCAGGTCAAGCAATATATGCCATGGTGTAAACTTTGGGTATAGACATCAGAATGCTCAGATGACTTTTAAATTTTCTAACCAAATTTATTAAATTGAAAAAGAGGAATGTTACCAATAGCTACATTTTCTCAACTCTTTAAAAGGCTTTCAGAACTTAGTGTTTAGGTATCTGAATGGATTTTAAGGCGTCCATGAACTCTAATAACTATGAATTTTCCTGGGAAACAGCTCAGCCTTTTGTTAGAGCTAAAGAATCTGTTATTAAGAAAGAATTCTAGCTGGGTGGTGGCGCATTCCTTTAATCCTAGCAGGCGGATCTCTGTGAATTTAGGCCAGCCTGGTCTATAAGAACTAGTTCCAAGACAGGCTCCAAAGATACAGAGAAACCCTGTCTTGAAAAATGTAAAACAATAAAACAAAAAAGAAAATTCTAAGCCTTTAATTTCAGCACCAGGCAGAGGCAGTCAGATCTTTGTGACCTTGAGGCCAGTCTTATCTACATAGTGAGTTCCAGGCAGCCAGAGCTACATAGTGATCCCCTGTCTCAGAAAAAAGAAGGGGGGGGGTGTTAAAAAAACAAATCTTGCTTATTGAATAAAAGTTTCTCTTTTGATTAAGAATTAATATTCCGTCTTTTGAGGCAAGGCAAGTTCTAGGATGACAATCAGGGCTATGTAGTGAGACTTTGTCTCAAAAAGATGAAAAAAATAATATAATCCTATTCTTAAGAATTTATATGAGAACACAGAGATAGAGTTGCTGGCCTAGGGTATTCCACTTTATACTCTAGCTACTAGTGCATGAGTGCTGCCATGTTTTATTCAGCTTTACAACAGTTATTGGTGATTATTTTGAGAGGGGAAATCTAGTTTGGTATTTGCATTTATATTTATGTATATATAATTTTATAAGCCTTTGGAGTGATTGGTTCTTTAAAGCTTTTGTGTGCAAAAACTTTTAGTGTGGAAATACATTATTTTTAGAACACTTTTATTTAGCTAATGTTAAAATTTGTGCTTATTTTATGTTGCAGGGATTAGAATACTGCGAAGAAAGATATACACTGGATCTGTCGGGTGGCTTGTTCCCCTTAAGGGGACAGACTAGCAATACTAAATTGTTGGGATGCCAAAGTATAGAGAGATTCCCGTCTCATGGGGACAGGGAAGAAAGTATGAGAGAAGGTTAGTTAAAAGTACTCTGAATATTTTCTGTGATGACTGAAGATTTATGACGCATTTCTAGAACTAATATTTCTGACAGCTGAAAATTAAGATTCTGGTTATGTCATTTATTTAGGCTCTTAGGTCTTTCTTGCTTTCTGGATTGCTATACAGAAGTGTTTGACTCCAATTCAACACAAAGACAGTCTCCATTTTAATTAGTGTAACTTGTCTTTGGATGTTTTTCTTTGTGGTTTGTTTTTGTTACTTATCTATTTATTTTTAGCTATGCTGTGTTTGCCTTCATTTCTCCCCCTTCCCCCAATTTTTCTTAGTATTTCTTCCTTCTGGGAAAAGATCCTGGGGTAGATTTCTTTAAATGCCACATTGATCCATTTTCCAATTTTTTTCCTTAGGTGTAGCCTTTGGAGATGCCTCAGGGCCTTTGGCTGTACATGTATCTAGATACCTTATTTTAGTGAGTTCATTCATCCCAGAGATGTCCTGGGTCATAGTTCTCACATTTTAATTTGTGATCTTGTTTCCACATCCAAATGAATATGTCAGAAACTTAACATTCCGTCTCTCTTCTCATTCCCTGTCCACGTCTTCCTTCCTTTTTCAGTTGCCTTTAGGGGTATCTGAGGTTTTTGCTTTTCTCTTCCTGCCAAGTCCCCTTCTGGTGCCGTTCCACTGCCACAGTCTAGGTATTTGTTTGTTTTGCCTTCACCATTTGGCTAGATCTGTCTTTTTCAACTAAGTTTCTGTCTTTCTCAACTAAGTTCCTCTAAAGAAATAAACCTCAGTAGTTAATGGCTCAGTGGTTAAGAGCACTGCCTGCTCTTCCAAAGGTTCTAAGTTCAATTCCCAGCAACCACATGGTGGCTCACAACTATCAGTAATTAGATCTGGTGTCCTCTTGAGGAAGAGGTCAGTCGTCCTCATCAACTTAGACCATGAAACCCACTTTGGACAAGTTTCAACAAATAAGGGCTGCCCATGCATGTTCAGCATTGCCAGGGCTTAAATTTCAGTTTTCACTTTAAAGACATAAATTTGATGTGTTAGATTAACTTCTGTGCTAGTTGTATACCATCCTTGGGGGAATGTTCTTTGAAATCGCTTTGTATTTTCTACTTTGGTGTCTCAAAATCACTGAGGTATTACCAGCTGAAACAAAGCCTTCTGATGAGAACTTCCCAATAGCTAAAGAGGAACATCAGGGTATAAGTGAGTCTCAAATGATAGAAATGTTTTTGATAAGTCTATTGAAATATGAATTGAATGTTACAGTGATTTTTGTATTGATGTACTTTTAGATTCTTTATTCTGTTTTTGAAAAATAGTTGAGTTTTTTTTTTGTTTGTTTGCAGCTCTCTCCCCTGATACTAGTGTTTCTGTCTTTACCTGGCAAGTGAATATATACGGACAGGGAAAGCCTTCTGTATATTTAGGACTATTTGACATAAATCGTTGGTATCATGCACAGATGCCAGATTCATTAAGGTATGATTTCTGTGTTTTCTCACCCCCTTCTCCCTCAGATATTGTCATGCATAACTGATCAGTGTCTCAGTGCTTTTTAAATTTTCTTTTAGGTCAGGAGAATCTCTCCATAATTGCTCTTACTTTGCATTGTGGTCATTGGATTCAGTTGTGAGTAGAACTGCTCCACATGACATCTTGGACATACTAGTACACGAGAGAAGTTTAAATCGAGGGGTGCCTCCTTCATACCCACCTCCAGAGCAGTTTTTTAACCCAAGTACTTTTAATTTTGGTATGTATTTTCATAATATTTTGAGGAAAATAATTATAAATGTATGTCAGTTGTATATTGGTTTAGTTCATATAGTGTCATCTGTTCATATCTCACTGGCACTTAGCTTAGATAGCTTCTTTAATACATATATTTGCATGTACATGAGAAATTTAGTGTGTTTGTAAGCTAATGCTATTGTGAATCTTTTATAATATGTCAGTTATTGTGTTAATGATTGTCACTGTCTCAGTAGAAAATATCTGAAGAGGTTTACTTAAGAATTTATTCTTGCTGGGTGTGTGGCACATGCCTTTAATCCCAGTATAGGCAGAGGCAGGAAAATCTCTTGAACATTTAAGATCAGTCTGGTTCACGTAGAGTTCCAGGCCAGCCAGGAATACACAGTGAGACCCTGTCTTTTTTTTTTTTTCTTTGAAGAGGCTGGTGATTTATTCTATATAATAATTTAGTTACTTGAAGTAATCATTTAATTTGCATTTTAAAATCTTTTTTTTTTTCTTTTTAAGATGCCACTTGCTTGTTAAACTCTGGCGTTATCCATGTAACTTGTACTGGATTTCAGAAGGAGGTATGTATGAATTAACACACAGAGTGTGTGGTAATTGAACTGAAGTTGCATATTAGAATATACCTAATTTCATGGATTTAAACTTTCATGGTATTTGTAGCAACATACTCGTCTTAAATAGTAGTTTCTTCTAGGTTGAGTTTAGCATTTTTAATACCTGTTTTAATGACAGCTTTCAAGAAGAGGCATTGAAGTGTTTTAGTAGCTTTATGTGGATGTTATCTACTTGAACATCAAGTAAGTGAATAGGTCAGGCCGGTGCCTTATCACAACTGGGTGTTTGCCTAGGAGACAGTGATGGCTGTTCTCGAACTCATAGGTCTTTCTGCGCTGCCTCTTGCTTGCTAGGGTTAAAGATTGCACCGCAACTGTAACACATCCTTTGTATGGTGACCTGGGGAGGGCTTCTCCTTGGCTCTTCTCAGAAATAATACAATGTTGACATGGGAATGATACAAAAATAGTTGGGGTAACGTGATGGGGTAGTCAGCCACTCATAAATAGTTGCTGTGACTTGAGCTTTAGTAATACCATGATAAAGAAACATTTTTTGAGTTCAAGAATCTATAAGCCTCTTAACTTGATCCCCAAAGTTAGTCAGTCTTCCATTATTTCCAGATTTTTTGTTTGTTTGTTTGGTTTTGGTTTTTGGTTTTTCAAGACAAGGTTTCTCTATATAACAGCCCTTGCTGTCCTGGAACTAGCTCTTATAGACCAGGCTGGCCTTGAACTCACAAAAATCCACCTGCCTCTGCCTCCCGAGTACTGGGATTAAAGAGGTGCAACACTACTGCCTGGCTTCCTTCCGTAGATATTTAAGTTTTACTCAAATTTTAGGTATAAAGTATTTCTTAAATTAGATTGAATTAAATTAGATTCGGTTGATGTTGGACTAATTTCTCTATTACAGACTTTGACATTTTTAAAGAAATCGGGACCATCTCTCAATGAAGTCATTCCTGATAGTTATAATCGATGTCTTGTTGCTGGCCTTCTCTCACCAAGGCTTATTGACATTCAGCCTTCCAGTTTAAGTCAAGTGAGATATTTTACTGTATTCTTTCTTTTCAGTTGTATGTTATTATCTCTATTGCAATATAAATATAAATCTATTACTCTTTTTTTTTTCGCTTTTGCAAAAGTGAATAATGTGGTACCATGCTCATTTTAGATCCTTATGCTGTTGATCATACTTGGGATTTGGCTTCCAAGTCACTTAACTTTGCTAGAGAAATGGCTAGCCGTAAGAATACTTGTTGCTTTTGCAAAAGACCCAGGTTCAGTTCTCAGGATTCATATGGTGACTTAGAACCATCTGCAACTCCAGTTCTAAGGGGACCTGATGCCCTCTTTGACTGCTGCAGGCATCATGCATTCATACACATGGTGCACTTATATACATGTAGGCAAAATACCTTGTGTTTTTTGTTGTTGTTGTTGTTGTTGTTCTTTTTTTTTTTTTTTTAAAGCAGTCACACAGGGGTAGGCCTGGCAATGTAATCCTAATTACTGAGGCAGCAAAGTCATAAGTTAAAAGTTGAGCTGGGCCACAGAGTGAATTCAAGGCTTTCTTATCCAATTTAGTGAGACTCTATTTTAAAATAAAAGAGCACTGAGAATATATATATATAGCTCAGTGGTAGAATGCTTGCTTAACATATCCTGGGCTCCAGTTTCAGTGTCTAGTGCCGCCAATAAAAGTAAAAACAAACAGCTTTGAATTCCCATAGCTGTATAATCTTCGTCCAACATGTCTTCTGGGTGTTCCGATTGCTGCTTATTACTTTCTGCTTTTCTCACTGTTTTGCCCAGGTTGGCCTCAGACTTGTGATCCTCTCGTCTAAGCCTCCCAAATGCTGGAATTCTAGGCATGTGATTTATTGTCTCTTTGCCTGTAGCCAAACTGGGGAGTCGTAACTATTTTCCAGCCTTTCACTGTTTATGATTTCATACTATCTTTTTTCTTTAATATGGTTTAGGAAGAACAATTAGAAGCTATATTGTCAGCAGCAATTCAAACAAGTTCCCTGGGACTTTTGACCGGTTCCATCAGAACATGGATAACAGAAGGTAACAGTTTGACTTTATAAAAAATGCATATTTTTAAAATTACATTTTTGGTTTCACTTTTTAGTAAAACTTTTTATGAGATAATTGTAAATTTACATAAACTTGCACGGCATAATAAAGTGAATCTGTGTATGCTTTATACCATTTTTCTTCCCCAAGTGAAGAAAGCAATCTAGCAAACCTCTTGTTCGCATTATCACATCCAAGATCCTGAACATTGCCTTTCATATCTGCTTCCTTCTTGCCCAGTACCTGGGCACTAATCTCTTCAATATGGTTACAATTTTGTTATTTCTCATATTCATAAACTGAATCACATAGTATATAACTTTTATACACTTTTTCCACTCAGCTAAATTTCCTGGAGATACATTGTGTATTGTGTGTATCTTTTTTGCACTTTACCATATATATTGTCACATACCATATAAATATATGCACATACATATGTGTTATACTCTGCCCCCATATTCTGTTAAAAACCATTTGAAAGAAAACATCTTGTTTCTTAACTCATTTCAGTTTTATCTGAAAATAAGGTGCTCATCTATAAAATCTTTGTGATTTAAAAACGAAGGTTAACAATAATTGAGAACTTTCCAGTTCTGTTATATACCATAATGTTTTATAGCTTAGAGGGGTTTGGAGAAATAGAGCATCTTTTGTGTTTTTGAGTTGTTTGAGGGATTTTGTTTGTTTGTTTTTCTAGATATGGTTCCTCTGAGTAGTCCTGGCTGTCCTGAAACACTCCTGTAGACCAAGCTAACCTCAAACTCAGATTTGAACATTTAAGCTTCCTGAGTGCTAGAATTAAAGGCATGGACCTCTATGCCTAGCATGTTTTGACTCTTAATATTCCTTAATCTGGTGAAATTTCTAAAATCAAATTTAAAAAACTATAGGCCTTGGCGGGTTTTTTGTTTGTTTCTTTTTTGTTGTTTTGTTTGGTTGGTTGGTTTTGGTTTTTCCAGACAGGGTTTTTCTTGTAGCTAGAACTCAGACTTGTTGTGTAGACCAGGGTGGCCTCAGACTCATAGAGATCCGCCTGTCTCTGCCATCAAGTACTGGGATTAAAGGTGTGCGCCACCACTTGTTTCGTTTTGTTTTTTGGATTGCTTATTGGTCTTCCTCATAACCACCTCCTACGCCTTCTCAACCTCATTAGGTTTTGTGCCTTATGCAGCATAGTTCATACGATAAAGTATACTAAGATACATTTGGTACAAATTGTTAAATTCGTTAGCTTTGTTAAGGTGCTTCCTGTCTGGTTCCTCCTACAAAGAACTAATTTTCATTTTGGAGTTTGTAATCATTCTTTTCTTTTTCTTTTATACAATAAGAACAACCAAATTCTGCTGCTAATCTTCGATTTGTTCTTCAATGGACGTGGAATAAGGTGGTTCTCACAAAAGAAGAATTTGACAGACTTTGTAAGTATAAGTCTGGATTCAGGGCAAATTTTAATAATTAAAAGCTAATCTTGATTAATGTTTTATTTACAGATAGGACATTTGTTTGAAACAAGGTTTCAGTAACGTGGGCTGTAGGAGCCTCACTATATAGTTCATGCTTGCCTTGAACTCATCAAGCCCTCTAGCCTCCAAGTGCTTGAATTACAGGCATGAGCTACTACATCTAGCTCAGTAATAGTTTTACTACTTTGGGGATATAAAATATTAAGATTTACAATCCTGGAAGGAAAGCATTTAATTAAAGTGGTTGAAACAAGTTTAACAAAATCTTTTCACTGGCAACACATTATTAATCAGCTACATTACCATATCATCATAGCTATGTGCTGGAATTGCAGTTGTGTGCCTCCGCACCTGCCTGTATGTAACTCAGCTGTTGCTGAATTTTAAAAATTGGTGCTGGTTAATGGAGACCTTGTGGCTTTTTTTATTATTGTTTGTTTTTTAACCTCTTAAGATAATTCAGATGCAGATACAGTGTTACAAAATTTTTAGAAGAAAATTAGAATTTGACTCAAGGGACTTAAAAACTAAAATAGTTGTTTAGATGAATCACATGTTAAATATCGATGGGATTAAATGGTTTATTAAAGTAAAGTCTTATCTTACAGCACATAGTAGTTAGGAGGATAAGCTGTAGACCAATATAAAGTTTATAATAATTTTACTTTGGCTCTGGTTTTATATTGAAAGCACTTTCTCCAAATCTCTTGATATTTTCTAATTCTAGCCTATATTTTTAAAGCCTATCATTCTTTAAAGTAATGGAACTTGAAGAAAATGTACATTGATCTAATTTTGTATTTTATCCTTGGAAGGTGCACCATTATTTGATGGTTCATGTCAGTTCATCGATCCACAAACTATACAGTCTATCCAGCAGTGCCATTTACTTCTTAGCAACCTTAATACAGTCTTGAGCTGTTTTGCAATGGAGGCCCAGGGCATCACTGAAAGAGGTGTGTGCTTTATACAAATGAGTGTCTTATTACATTTACTTAATTCAGTTAAAGTTCTTTTTTACTTTGTGAGACATTTTGTAAAGAGGAAATTATTTCTCCCAAATGGAATTTTTTTGTGTGGTGTATGTGAATTTGCATGCACATATGGCATATTGTGCAGGCATCATGACACCTGTGCCTTGGTTCTACTCAAATGGGTGTTCTAGGGTTTGAACTTAGGTCTCCTGGCTTTTTCTGCAGGTGTCAGCCATTTTGCTGACCTTAGAATTTACAACCAGTAGAATTTAAAATTCGAGATTAACATGTCTTTTTTTAATTGAAAAAAAAATGACTTTTTGTTTTGTTTTTGCTTTATTTTGCCATTTGAAGAAAGAAAAAGTATAATTTTATTTATAGGCCTAATTTGAACAATCTATTTTCAGTCTATTTTAATTGCGTTTTGTAGGAAACAACTAATTGTAGTTTGCATAAAATGCCTATTTTAGTAATCTTAACATTTTAGAGATTTGCTTAACCTCACATTGGGTTAATGCAAACTAAATTTATATATATATATATATATATATACACACACACACACACACACACACACAAATGTATGCACGCTGTTGATTGATTTGTCATTTGTGGTCAGTAAAATGAAAGTTAAACAACCAATGTTAATTCTTTATTACAGGACTGGTGGACTTGAGCAATAAGCATATGGTTACCCAGCTTATCTGTCAATATGCTCAAATGGTTCTGTGGTTTTCTCATTCTGGACTTTTACCTGAAGGCTTAGGTAAAGTATTTAATACATTAATATTGACTGAAGCATCTTTACTCCATAATGTTATTGTTTTGCTCTGAGCCTTCATATTATGTTTTCTGCTCTTCATAGCTCTGTGTATGTTCATTTAATTGTCATATAAAATAACAGCAAATTTGAGAAAACATGGCTTCTAAAATATCACTACCTATAACTTAGACCTATGGGACTATGATTTTTATAACCTAATTTGCTTGTTTAGTGCTTTTGTTACTATTTTGTTCAGTTTTAAAACTCTCACTGTTTATCCCTGTGTGGCCTGAAACTCATGTAGACTAGGCTAATGAGTTAGTTGACTAGACTGGCCTCGAACTCTTAGAGATCCACCTGCCTCTGCCTTTTGAGTACTGTGATTAAAAGTTCGAGGCCAGCCTGGTCTACAAGATCTAGTTACAGCACAGGCTCCAAAACTACAGAGAAACCTTGTCTCAAACCCGCGCCCCCCCCCCAAAAAAAAGGGTATTCCCCATGCTGGCATTAATATGGTTTTGTTTTGTTTATTGTTTTGTTTGTTTTTGTTTTTTGAGACAGGGTTTCTCTGTAACTTTATACATACATATAATTAAGAAAAAGATTGTGTTCTTGTATTGATTAAATTTTAGCAACATTAGTGGGGGTGGTAGCGCATGCTTTTAATCCTAACACTCGGGAGACAGAGGCAGGCAGATCTCTGAGTTCAAGGTCAGCTTGATCCTACAGAGCAAGTTTTAGGACAGCCAGGGTTATGCAGGAACTCTGTCTCAAAAAATAATAAGCAAATAAATTTTAGTAAGTCTAAAAATTTATTTTGCAATTACAGTAAAACAGGTTGGTATAACCTAAATTTTGAGATATTTGGCAATCTTACTAACTTTTTCCCCAACTTTAATAAAACCTCCAGATGATGCTCTGCAGCTGTCAAGGCTACGCTACAATTACTCTATTATTCAGAACTACTATACCAGTCGTCGGCAGAAGTGTGCACGCTTGCCCAGGTACAGTGCAGCCTGACTACACTTAGACTGTAAAATGACTAGTTGAACTTCTTGGTCTAATATTGTCATAATTGACATTACTAGTTTAGATTGTTTGCTTTAACTTAATGTCTGTACTTTTATTGCAGTTTTTCATGCAATATATTCTGATTGTTACTCCCTGCAACTTTTCCAGATCCTCCCATCCTCCTAAATCCAAATCTGTTTTCTCTCTCTCATTAGAAAGCAAACAGACATCTAAAACAAAAACAAATAAGATAAAAGCAAAACTGACAGAACAAACAGATAAGCCAAAAATTTTAAAGAGCCAAAGAAAAATCACAAGAAACACACATTGTCAATCACAGAAACCCTCTAAAAACACACAATTGGAAACTATAATATATAGACAAAAGACATTAGGGCAAGAAGAAAATGCCCAGAAAAAGCATTATGGAGCTTGTTTCATGTTAGCCATCTACTGCTGGTAATATATAAATATTTATATAACCAAAAATCATAAAATTCCAGTAGTAGGACTCTCAAATATCTAACCCAGTCTCATGAAATATTTTCTTTCTGCCCCCCCAACCTAAGTATGTATTCTTAAGATGTGGGGTATTGCACGTGTTATAATTGTATGCAGAATAACACTAAAAATTCCAACAAGTAAACCATACAGCTAATAAATAAACAGTTTCAACGGCATAGCAGGAGACAAAGCTAATACACAGATCAGTTACCTTCCTTTGTATAAAGTATCTTGGGATGCTTTAATCAAACAAGTATAAGACTTGTATACTAAAAACTTTCTTTTAAGAAATTGAAGACAATTCAGAAGCTAGAGCAGTTTCCCATGCTTGTTGATTGGTAGGATTAATGTAGAAATGATGACCAACCTAATGCCTACACTAAAGCATACTATCATTATTTTCTAAATAAAATTATCTTCATGAGTGATTTCTCACAGGCCTTTGTAGAATCATTCTTCTACCCCCTGAATTTCTTATTTGGAAAAAAGACTGGAATCTTCAATTCATTGAAAACCTGTAAACACATAGTAAATTGGTTATTTTAACAATTTTCAAAACTTAAATCTTGTTTTCCTTTTCTTATTTTTTGTAGTTTTCTCAAAAGTAAAAAAAAAAATGTATATCCTAGTAAGTTGCTTTGAAATTAAAAACAAAATTATGGTAGAAGAAACATTTGGAACCTGAATCCTGTCTCTGGAATTAGTCTTCCTCAGATTGACCAAGTAGCATTTAGGGTGTGACTTTACAAGCACCGACTCCAGATTTCTTGGGTCAGGTTATCCTGGGAATGAGCGATAATTCTAATTTGCTATGAATTTTGGAAATCAATCCCTTTAATGTAACTGTTCTAGGATAATGGACATGAACTTGGGAAATTGTTTGTGTTTTTGGTTTTAATATTCTTTATTCTCTTGTATCTTGAGGCAGTGATTCGTGATGTAGATTAAAGGCATGCACCACCACCACCCAGCTATGATGTAGACTTTTTTTTTTTTTTTTTTTTTTTAGTTTTTCGAGACAGGGTTTCTTTGTAGCTTTAAAGCCTGTCCTGGCACTAGCTCTTGTAGACCAGGCTGGCCTCGAACTCACAGAGATCCGCCTGCCTCTGCCTCCCGAGTGCTGGGATTAAAGGCCTGCGCCACCACCGCCCGGCTTATGATGTAGACTTAACAGTAGCTGAGCATAACCTTAAACTTGATTCTCTGCCTCAAAAATTCAGATGTGGTTCACGACTCCTGGTTCTGATTAGGCATATTTTAAAGTTGTATAGCCATTATTTTGTAAGTGTATGTTTTTTGGAATATTTGCCTTATTTGTAAGCTACAATGTAAGAATTAAATGTGTAGGGCACTAAGTATATGTCTGACTCTTAGGATGGTTTCAGTAAATAAAAACTGCTGCTGCTATTTATAGGTGACGAAATAGACAGGGGGTATCTGTTTATCACATTGAAAGTACTCAGTAATATGCTTTTGAATGAATAAAGCAGGATACAGCTCTCTGTTGGAACAGAAATATTTTTATCACCTGGGTCTGCTAGTAATTAATTCAGAATGGTGGGAAATACAAGAGTCTCATCCATTTTGCTGGCTAAACCCCATTCTTTCCTAGTATTTAGTCTTCACTGGCTGGCTTGGTAATGACTAAACTTGACACAACTTAGGGATTTTTCTGACAAATAATACTTTATTTCTGCAGTCTCATGATACTGAGTGAAGTCTGCTTCTCACCTATCTTCTGATAATTGTATAGTTTTTGAGCATTTGATGCTGACTGTTTTCATATCAAAAGTAAACATTAATGCAGATCATCTTTAATGTTTCCCATATTGCAGAGGGAAGTGGAACCATGATTGCTTGATGATTGATGGATTAGTTTCTCAGCTAGGAGATCAAGTTGAGAAGTTGTGGAAACGGGATGAAGGAGGCACAGGAAAATATCCTCCTGCTAGCATCCATGTAGGTTACAGTAATACGGAATCATTTAAAGAGTCTGAGTGGAGGGAGGAAGAGTTCATAACTGAATGAATTTTTCATGCCTGACAGGCTAGAGAAAGTGGGACATGAAGAAAAGTCTATAAAATGCACTGACATTTTTATCTTTTTCTTTTATAGGCACTACTTGACATATATTTATTAGACAACATTACTGAAACAAGCAAACATGCTATTGTATCCTTTAAACTTTTAATAAGTATTTGTATATCATCAAAATCATGAAATTCCAGTAGCAGGACTCTCAAGTAGCTAACCCAGTCTCATGAAATGTCTGTCCCCCACCTCTGGCTCTCCTAGAACTCACTTTGTATACCAGCCTGGCTTCAAACTCACAGATATCCTCCTGCCTCTGCCTCCCTGAGTGTTGGAATTAAAGGCAGAACTGCCGTCGCCTGGCTCATTAATTCCTTTGTTGTAGCACTAAAATACAGGATAAAGGAGGTTGGCATGCTACTCCCTTTGCCTATCTGTAATGAACTAAAGCCATAGTTGGATATTCCTAATGGCCTTGTAAACATAAGTTTTTAAAGCTTCTTAATTCTACATCTCTTCCCTATTCTAGGTATACATGTATGTTTTTTTTCTTTCTGCTTATTGTCCTTAATCCCTTTTTAAAAGACTATTTATTTGCTACTCGATATTATGTATTCCTTTCCAAACAAAACTGATACTCCCATTGAATCTTTTCCAACTGCCTTTGCTATTTCTTGGGGCCAAGTTAAGTTAGTTCAAGGATTTTGGCTGTTAGATCACAATGACTATGAGGTAAGTATTTCACTTGGAATATAAGCCTTTGTAAGCTAGTCCACAGGAAAGATGTAAAACTAGATTATCTTGACATAAGGTGATGTTGTCTATTTCTAGAAGTGATAGCTTTTTAACTAGTGCTCTCACCCAAGCAGCAAGAATACCAGTTAATAATCTCAGGTTACTTGCTTTTAAAAAGGGATGGTTGGGAATGGTGCAGTACTGACTTGTGTTTGGGTTTTGGCATGAGTCAAAGAAGACAAAATTTGTTAATGGGGCATGAAATTGGTGTAAAAAGAATTTTATGTACGAGATCTCAAAGGTATGACACTTTTGTTCTTTGAACTCTACCATAGCTTAGCTCCTTTTAACTACATTAAACTTAATTTTAATTTCAGTGAATTTTAATACTACTTGCCCTTTTTAAGGGCCAACTACTTTGTCTAAATACAATCACTTCATCATTTTGCAGAATGGTTTAGACCTTTTGTTCCACCCGGTTACTGCAAAACCTGTGTCATGGCAGCATTCAAAGATAATTGAAGCCTTTATGAGTCAGGGAGAGCACAAACAGGCTCTCCGGTATCTTCAGACAATGAAGCCCACAGTGTCCAATAGCAGTGATATCATCCTTCACCTCACTGTTCTGCTTTTTAATAGGTAAGTACATCTTAAAAACAGAAGCTCTTGATCACATTTTAATCAATGGAACTGGTTAATAAATGGAATACCTAGTAAAAAAAAATATAGAACTAGGTGAAGTGGCATATATCTGAATTATGGATTCTAGCCCAGCCCTAGATACGTGAGACCCTGCCTCAAAAAAACAAAAATACATAATTTTACATTGGTCACATTACCTAAAATTCTTATAAGGCAAATCCACGGTGCCTTTCACGTAGAATGTGATAAATAACAAATTACTTTACATAAAGGAGAGTGCTTGGCTAAGACTAACACCGACCCCTCTTTGCTGCTCATTGATGACATTTATAGTCTCCTGCGTGAACAGTTTGTTAGGTATGGACTTAGGAAAAGAGCAAGTTTCCTATCTTACTGCTTAAACCAGATTTGAGCAAATTATTCCCCCCCCTCCCCAAAAAACTTTTATTCTTATTTATTTTCATACTTGTGTGTTATACATATTTACATATTTTGTACATAGCATCTGTATGTGCATGTTGAAGCCATGCACTTCTTACAATGGTCAACATTGGATGTCTTCCTTTCCTGCTCCAGACTGAATACTCTGGGATTCAGTCCCCAGCAAGGCCCCCTACCCTCCCTTACCACCACCTTCATTGCTGGCCTCATAAACCCAGAGTAGAGTGACTTGAATGTTATGTCAGTGAAGGTGATTGGTTGTGGGTTTTTTTTTGAAAGTAAAAAATACTTTTAGGAAAAGTAGCTGCAGCTTCACTAAGTGAAAATGGGAAAGGATTTCCTTATTTCATTGAGCAAGAAACCATTCCTAAGCGTGATCTGAGGAAGAAGACATAACCACCAAGCAAAGCACATTGCTTTACAGTGAGTTATTCAATAAAAGTCCAGGGCGTGTCCTGTGGTAATCACATAGTTACTTAATTTTTCCCATCTACTTGTGTGTCTAATCCAAGTGTTTAATCATTAAGTCTCTGAACTTATATATAACCATAACAGTTATATTTGGGAAGTTTGAACTTAAAGGTTGAGCCACATAGTAATTTTTCTAGCATTCAAAGCTCAGTGATTGCATAATCATTGTTAAAAATAGCCGATAGCTAAAAATAATCAGTATTTCAAACATAAGAACAATGACCCCTTTTCCGAGACTATGCAATACAAATGAGGTAATCCTGTGGCTTTTTAACTATATTAGTGCTACTGCTTATTAGTTATGCTGAATCCTTAAAGTCCTACTGGACCGACCAGGTATCTCAAGCCAGCAAAAATGTCTGTTACGCAAGCCTGATAAACATGAATTTGATCCCTGGAACCCTCACAAAGGTAGAAGAAGAGAAGTGACTGCACCAAGTTGTTTTGACCTCCACAACACATACTCCCACATTCACACATCTCGTATGCACAAATACTCATGCAGTAAGAGGAAAATGTCATTACAACAGCCACTTAACCAGGGCAAAGATTTTAAGAGGATAATCTTTGTACTTGAATAGATTTTAACTCTAAAACTACCACTTTTCTCTTGTACATTTGTCATTTCAGCATTTGGGAAGTTAAACTAACCACCTTCTAAACTGTAGTTTATCCTGCAGGTGTTTCATGAGGTTAATGCCCACCTTGGAATATTCTGAGGGTTAGGTGCATAGAGTCATTACAGCTGTTGGCAGAGTTGTAATTCATTAGCAAATGGCTGTAGTGATTGATAGTGGGATCCATGTTAAGTTCCTTTTCTGTGACTGATAAAACACTGTGACTAAGGCAACTCATAGAAGAATGGTTTGGGGGGCTTACATTCAGAAAGTCATCATGGCAGGAAGGTATGGTATCTGGAGAGTAATGCTAAGAGTTCTTATCCTTTATCATAAGCTGAGAATGGCAGCTCAAGTCTTTTAAATATTAAACCTCCTTCCTTCAGCCAGGCTGCACCTCCTAGACCTCCCCCAACAAATGCCACTAACTGATGACCAAAATGTTAATGCCTGGGCCTATGAGAGACATTCTTATTTAAATTACCACAAACACCAGATTTTTTTTACCCCAGAGTATACACAATCCCAGGCTGATGTTTAGGAGACTGTGTAAGAAACACTTCCTCGTTTTATGGTGTTACTGCTCACAGAAGAGCATTTCAGGTCTTCCACTTGATGGTTTGAAGTTGATCCAAGTTTTCCGATTAGATCTTGGTATAGATCAGCGAAAATCACTTACTCAGGTCTTCACAATTGTTCCTGTGTTCTGTTCATGCTGAGTACCCTGACTTCTCTGTGATGACACGTAAACCTTCAGTTCTTTCCAGGCCGCCTTAAGATTTTGCCACCTTGTCAGCTTTATTTTTTACTACATAACACTTAAATATTGGAAAACTGCCTAAAATTGAGGTGCTCAGTTGTAACTGGGAATGCAGAGGCAGGCATATCTCTGTGAGTTCAAGGCCAGCTTGTTCTACGTAGTGAATTTCAGGATAGCTAGGACTACATAGTAAAACTCCATGTTGTGGGGGAAGGGTGCCCAGTTGTCTTTTTGACATTAGCAAGACTCATTGTGTACAAGTATTAAATAAAAATTTCAAGTATTTTATAATTGCACATGCATATTATCTTTGAAATGCTATAAGCAGGTGACTTTTCTATGTGTTATATAGCTCTTTGAATCTTTGTTACCGATTTCAGATGCATGGTTGAGGCCTGGAACTTACTGCGACAGAATTCAAACAGAGTGAATATAGAGGAACTACTAAAGCATGCTTATGAAGTTTGTCAGGAGATGGGCTTAATGGAGGATTTACTAAAGCTACCGCTTACAGACACTGAGCAGGTAATTAATCACCAATCAGTAAAGACTTAAAGAAATTTAGGGTAAATTGATAGTTTACAAATCTCTTTTGTTCTTCCTAGGAATGTTTAGTGAAATTTTTACAATCCAGCACCAGTGTTCAGAATCAAGAATTCCTTCTAGTTCACCATTTACAGCGTGCTAATTATATTTCTGCCTTGAAACTAAACCAGACTCTGAAGAATACTCTCATGGTATGATTAAAGTTGTCTCATTGTGTGAAATGAGAATGAGGAAAGCTGAAGCCTTTTTTTGCTTATTTTACAAGAACTTATAGTTTAATGGCCATTTGCTTTACATTGTCTTGAACTCGGAGAATCCTCATTGTTACGGTTATCACTGGGACCTGGGTATTACTATTTACAGAATTCTGCATGTGCCACAGTGTTCTGATAGAGACCCCCTCACTTAGAGAAAATGAAAGAAAGACTCCTAGAGAGTAGGAGTTGTATAATACAGAAAACATTCAGAAGTCAGACTAACTCGTAGCTTGTTCTGGTTCTTGATCTATAAAATGACAATATCTGAGAGTTTGTCTGCCTGGATGCCGTATCCAGCATGGCTCCAGAGGTGGACCTTACTGGAGCATTGGGAGAATGAAGAATAATGAAATATACCTAACGACAAGAAAAGCAGGAGTCAGGCGGATTGGGCTTTTTAAGGGAGAAACCACTGCACCCTGGAAGCTCAGCTTGCTTATTATATGCAGTTAAACAGGGGGATGGGGTTATTGCATATAGCTGAACAAGTAGGCTTGCTTATTATGTACAGATAAATAAGGAGGAGGTAGGGTTTATAGTGTACAGCTTGAATCAAGGAGAGAGGTTGATTTAAACTTGGTAGAAGCAATCTTTAGGCCATAAACATCCAGAGGAAGAAAGCTGTGTTCTCTGTATACACCATTAACATTCACACACGAACCAGAGGAAGCCTTTGCCTCTGTGTGTGTGGTGGGGGTGTTTTTGTCTTCCCATGCGCCTGTGGCAATGTCAACAATGCACACTCACTCAGAACTTAACACACTCAGGGCTTCCTCTACTCCCCACACATGAAGGTGCATGTAAAGGAGCGTATTTCATGTTACATTGCTTATATTTGTTGTGAAGGATCAAGGCTTGGTACTGGATATTTGAATGTATAGATGTGTACACAATTTTAAGGAAGTATATGAAGTCTGAGCTGAAAGATGTAGCTATGAGACACTCATAATTAAAATTTAAGTGATATAGTTACAGCTAACATTATGAAGATTAAATTTTTGTTAATTATAATGTATTCAATAGAGTGATCATGATCCACGTTTGCGGGAGAGATCAGTGGCTCGAAATTCTATATTAGACCAGTATGGGAAAATCCTACCCAGAGTCCAGAGAAAATTAGCCATTGAGCGAGCTAAGCCTTACCATCTGTCAACATCGTCAGTTTTTCACGAAGGTAAGATTTCATTGCAGATGTACTAGCTTTTTGGGAGCCTAGTCTGTTTGGATGCACACCTTTTTAGACCTGGATGGAGGGGGGAGGGCCTTGGACTTCCCACAGAGCAGAGTACCCTGACTTCTCTTAGGACTGAAGAGGGAGCAGGGAGAGGGTGGGAAATGAGAGGAGGGGAGGAGGTGGAAAATTTTGATAAATAAATTTAAAAATAGAAAAGATACGGAATGATTCCCTTCCTGGAGTCACCACCGTCATTTCTTTGTGTTGTACATTCATGTTAACTTTTTTCATTTTATAAAAAGCTTGTTAGAGATGCAACTGAGTCAGATGCAACTGACTCCTGTTTTCTTTATTTTTCAGTTCCTAGGCCCAAACCATTGTCAGCATTTCCAAAGAAAGCTGTAACTGGAACAGTGTTAACAAGATCTACTTTCATCAATAATGTGTTGTCTAAAATTGGAGAGGTGTGGGCAAGTCATGAGCCTAGAAATGGCATTTCACTTTACAATAGGTATTGTTTTTAATTACCTTTCCATTTTACTTTATGTGTGTGGAGGGATAAGGCATGCAGCTACAGAGCCTGTGTGGGGGTCAGAGAACTGTTTACAAGAGGGTTCTTTCCTTCCACCATATTGGTCCCATGAACCAAACTTGGTGCCAGGCAAGTCCTTCTGTACTCTTTTAGAGAGCAGCAGTGTTCATCAGCAAGGCACCCTCATCCTTTCCGAGTTTATTATAGAATATAAAAAATGAAACTTCTTTAAGTTAGCTACTTTGTTAACGGATTGTTTTGTCGTTAAGTTTGCATTTTTTGTGAGTTAGTTCTCTCCACCATGTGGGTTCTGGAGATTGAAGTCAGTCATTAGGACAAATTTACCTGTTCAGCCTTCTTTCTAGCCCCATTTCATGTTTTCAGGTGACTATTGTTATTTGTAAACAGTGCAGAGATGTACAGTTAAAAACAGAAGCCTTTTCTTCCCACTTCCATCTAATCTCATAGCATTTTTGCCTTAATCCATATGATATATAACTTGAATTTTTACTTCTCTGTAGTCCTAAAACAGAACAACCATCTCCTGTAGTGCGTCCTTTCCCACGTCCAGAGCTTCCTGAGGCATTTGTTGGAACACCAATTTCAAAATCATCCCAGAGAATATCTAGGTGAGAATTTCTTGGATTGTATCGAAAAAACTGTAATTAAGTTTTTTTTTTTATTTTTATTTATTTATTTATTTTTTTCGAGACAGGGTTTCTCCGTAGCTTTTGGTTCCTGTCCTGGAACTAGCTCTTGTAGACCAGGCTGGCCTCGAACTCACAGAGATCCGCCTGCCTCTGCCTCGCGAGTGCTGGGATTAAAGGCGTGCGCCACCACCGCCCGGCCTGTAATTAAGTTTTTTAAAGGTGCTATTTTGCTGGGCGGTGGTGGCGCATGCCTTTAATGCCAGCACTCTGGAGGCAGAGACAGACAAATCTCTGCGAGTTCAAGGCCAGCCTGGTCTACAAGAACTAGTTCCAGGATAGGTTCCAAAGCTAAAGAGAAATCCTGTCACAAAAAAAAAGGTGCTATTTTCAAGTAAAAATGTAAATACTTTCTGTTATTTGGCAAGAGTTACAGTTATTTTAGTACGTTATAAATAGCTATTAGTATATTTAACATTTCTGTTTACTTACCTCTTGTGGCTTAGTGAAAATAAGCAAACCATATTAAAACCTTTAGGAAAACAGTCTATCAAACTTAATTTTGTTTTGTTGATCTTTAAAAGAACGTTGTTTCTATAATTAGTTACAAAATCTTGGTTGACTTAGTGAAGATTTCTCCTGGGCTTCACTGAAATATCTTGTGTTCCTTAGTTGCAGTAATACTTTCATCTTACCTAAATATTTAAAATTATTAAATTATTGGACAGAAATAAATACATAATGAATCATCTTTTGAAGAAGTAGAATCAAATAGGTACTATCAGTCAACTCTGGCATTTTCTTAAGGTTTACGTTGCTGTTTTCTGTGTTTTGTTTTGTTTATGTATATCCTAGACAGTCCATTCTTGGATCACACCAAAAAATTTGAAAATATCCCAAGACCTACTATGATGTTTAGCATTTCTTTTATAACATTTCTTAATCAATAATACCTTTTCTTGATTCTTTTTTAAAAGTATAATTTTAGTGATCTGGGGATGGTGGGAATGGTTTCTCCCAATATTTCCCCCACTAAGTAAAAGTTTGGTGCCCCCTCTAATAATGAGAAGTTGAACCAAATGTTTGGCTGAGGTCACCCTTGCATTTTGGAGGAAGTAAATTATGCTGTTTTTGTTTGTTTTGGTGTATATGTGTGTGTTTTCTAGACAGGTTTCTCCATGTAGCCCTGGCTGTTCTATAACTTGATCAGTTGACTAGGTTGGCTTTAAATTCACAAAGATCCACCTGGGCTTAAAGGCATGCACCACTGCTACATGGCGATGATGCTGGCTTTATCATGAAACATTTTAACCGTAAGCTGGGGTGATGGTATATGCTATAATCTTTGCACTTGGGAGGCAAAGGCAACAGGATCAGGTGTTAAAGGGCATCCTTAACTATATACACATACACACTAGTCACTAAAACAGCAAGAAGAACCATCTGTACAAGTGGTCCACCAGATATTATAACCTGAAGATACTACCTGGAGGTTGAGATTACATGTAAAGGGAAGATGGGAAAATGAAGTCTTTAAATTGCTGTTTACAATTCCTAATTTCCTTTGCTTTGGAAAGAACTTCAGACTTTTTAAACTAATACTGACTTTTTTATTACATTACTATACTTGCCTAAAATTATTTACATATTACAGTGTTTTAGTAGTGAGCACTCAAATATCAGTAATTGTTTTGAACTTAATAAAGAAGTTAAGTTTTTTCTATTTAATTTTAGATTACTGGATTTGGTTGTTCATCCTATCCCCCAGCCTTCTCACTGTTTGGAGTTTATTCAGCAAAGTCCCACAAGATCTCCTTTGTGTTTGCTATCCAGTTCATTGCCATTAAGTTCACAACTAAAAAGGCCCCATCAGAGTACCTCCAGGCCTGCAGAATTGCTATTACTTGAAACTCCTCCTGTAGTTAAGGTTAGTATTACCTGTCTATCACCCTGGGACATTAGCATTTTTCTTGTAGCATTGAGAAATTAAGCTGTTTGTGGCATAACTATGGGAAGTCAAAGGCTTTACTTTTAAATTTTTTTCTCTCATTTTATTATTTATTATTGATTTATTTTGAGGCGGTGTTTCTCTGTGTATCCCTGGCTGTGCCTGAACTAGCTCTCTAGACCTGGCTGGCCTAGATCTTTGGCTTTGCTTATATTTTCAGAGTACTATATAGAGTATAATATAATGTAAGTCAGTATATGATTACCTTAAAATATCTTTTATAAAGTGCTTTCAGGTTTTTGAGTGATTATATATATCCTTTATTGCTGATAATTGACATGTTTATATTTTTTTCTTCCAAATACTTTAGTTTTAGGCTTGTTTTTACTTGTTTTACTTTAAACTACTGTTGTTAGAGGTGATCTTTAAAAGACTTTTTTCCCACCATCCTTGATAAATTACTAAGAGGAGAAGAAATCCAAACTTGTGATGGTTGGTAGTAATGGGCTTAAACATTTTTCACTTTCCAAGTATTTTTACATATTACCGGTATCTCATCATTTTTTATTAGTTAAAGAGGAAAGTGTCAGGACCTTTAGAAAGAGTGTAAAAATAATTTTATCTCCCAAACTTAACATAAAGTTCTAACTGAATTTTGTATTTTTCCATCAATCTGAAATAAAATTTTCTACTTGTTTTATGAAGATAAAAATGTATATGCTTTGAAATTACTGGCTGACCTTGAGGAAGTTACTTACTAACACTAATAATTGGATTCTCTTTGCTCTTTGCCATAGAAAGCTAAATCTTTGGCTCTGTCAGCTACTTCTTCTGGATTTGCCGAGTTCACTCCTCCATCCATCCTTAGGTCTGGTCTTCGAACAACACCTTTAGCATCTCCCTCTGTGTCACCTGGGAGATCTCTCACCCCACCTTTCCGACTGAAAGAAACCAGGATTTCTTTCATGGAAGAAGGCATGAGCGCACACTGGACTGATAGAGTAAGTTTATTAACATCACAGGTTTTGTATGCAATCTTGTGGGTAGTCTTGAAACTAAAAATTGCCCCCCCCTAAAAAAAAAAAAACCCTTCAGAACATGAACTGAGCCAATCATATCCTCTACAAGTAAAATATAATAGGGGTGTGTGTGTGTGTGTTTTGCTATTATGCTATTAAAGTAAAAGTCCTGAGAAGCTACATATTTGGTGACAGAAGTATGCCTATTCACCAGTTTAGTTTTCACTCAATATCTTGTTGCTTTTCTTACCTAATTGGTTTATATATAGAAAGAGTGTCTGTGGAGTCCACTTTAGTTGTTATTAATAGAAGTCTACCCACTTTATAGTTTTTCGTTGTCCTATACATTATATTTTGTTTTAATCGGTGATAAATTACTGATTAGAGAAATGTTAACAGCAGTTCAATTTTAGTTAAACAACTAAAAATATTTTAATTTGAAACATATGAATTGTAATTTAAAAAGTTCCAAAGAATATGAAGTATGGAAAAGGTGGGTGGATGTGATTGGAATGGATAACTAGAGACTCTGCTGCTTTAACTTTTTTCTCATAATTCCAGGCTACAGATGACCATAATGCAAAAGCATTTGTTAGTACATCTTTCCATAAATGTGGACTCCCTGCAGAAACTGAATGGATGAAGACTAGTGATAAAAATCCATATTTTCCTCTGGATATCCCTGCAAAAGGCCATCAGAAAGTGGTTAGGGGGACATTGGACACCCACTCTCAGAGTCTGGAGAAACTGGATGTGAGCAAGGACGACAGCATTGCTTCAACCAGATCAGACCAGACTTCCTTAGAATATCATGATGCACCATCACCAGAAGACTTAGAAGATGGTGTTTTTGTGTCCCCCAAGCCAGCCAGTGCTTCTACTGAACTAACTACTAACTCGACTCTACAAATTGAGAAGGACAATGATAAAGATTTGTTTAAGTCAGAAGGTACTCTTTCAGCTGTGGAGAAACAAATGGGTAGGAACTCTTTGTACATACTCAAAATTTCATAATAGAGTATTTTCTTTGAGGAAAGCATCAATGCTAAACAATTTTTTTCTCACAGTGTACTATGTCCTAGACAAAGTAAATTTTATTTCAGCTTGGAAAAATGCCTTGTGTTCTTAAGTAGATAAGACATTTGATGGCAAGAGAACTTGTATGTGCTACCTTTTTATTTAGCCATGACAGTTGGCAAGCAGCAATAGTAGTGTTTAAGGAAGGGACTTGACATGCTGTAGTCTGCCTTGAAGGTTTTTAGTAACTATGAGAAGTAATAATGCCAACTGTAATTTTAGACTGTCCTAGCAGCCTGTTTGCTAGAAACCAGGAATTTGATTCTGCTCTCTGCCCTCTCCTCTGAAATAAGCACATGGAGGTCATAAATGTCTTCAGGCATTTGTCTGAATACTCATTGTCTTAATCTATTGTCTTAATACTCATTTATCTATTGAAAATTTTGTTGTTTTTCACTGATGGGAATTGTCGTTTGTTTAACGTTTTGTGTTTTTTTGGTTTTTTGGGTTTTTTTTTTTTTTGGAGCCCCTAAAGTATGTGCTCTAGTAGAAAATCACCTCCCTCCCTACCCCTGCCCCCCACATACACACACAGTAAGTGCTGGCTGCTGACTATCAGTAGTGAGTGCACTAGATAGAGTACTTGCCTGTACATTGAGTAGAATGCAGTAGGCCCTTTGACAGACAACTTAATGCAACTTGGTTAATATTTTTTGGGGATGTGGGGCCAAGCATCAAAGCCCTGGATTCAGTCCTCAGCAAAGAGGTAGAGCAGGAAAGCCAAGTTCCAAATCCCCCTTGGCTACACAGTATTTGAAACTAGCTTGGGATATATGAAACTTTACCTCCTTAAAAAAAAAGTCTATGTCATAAATAGATTCTATTTAATGTTTTTAACCAAGGCAGAATGAAGATTTTTGTAACAGGTGATTTGTGTCTATTTAGATTGTGGTGTCTTTAGCAAACATAGCCATTAATTGTTCTAAGTCTTAGGATTTGACTCATAAATAGAAAATGTGTAGAATTTCATGCTGCTTTCTTTTTTAATGTGCTTTATTCTACCAAAATATTTAAATGATCACCCTTAGATAAGAATACTCATAGCAGTATCTTCATTATTTCTACAATAGTAAGCAGTCTCGAGTAGAAATCTTTGTGAAGGGATAGCATATAACATAAAGCCTAGACTGTAATAGGTTAAGTTTGAATCTTAGCCCAGCATCTAAACATGGTTTGTGACCTGAGCTAAGCATGTAGCGTTATGCTTCAGATTTTTCTCAATTATCTCTTTGGATATTGAGGATTCAGTTAATTTAGTGGGAGATCACCTGTTAAACCACAAATGAGAAGTGGAAAGTTAAGAGGGGGCCCTTGAGCAAGGCTCAAAGAATTAGAAGAAAATGCTAGCAATCTGATGCCAAGGAATTAAAACAAATTAGAACAAAAGAAATAGGATCAGCAGTTTCTTTAAAGCGATGGTGAGTAAGATATTTCACATGCCCTCATCTATATGGTTTACAGGCACTGAAGAAGCTGCAGTGGAGGCACTTTCAGAATTCAGTCATTTAAGCCCTGTTCAAAGAGTTGACGCCTCTGTGTGTGTGGCCTCAGTCTGTGAAGGGTAAGTTAATGGAAACAGATGAGGGGGTTGAGATAATAAATTTCAGAGAAACAAAGAAACCTTGTCTGGAAACTAAAAGAAAGAAAAAAAAAGGAGCCTAGAGCCTTACTGGACCACCATACTAGCGCAGTCATTGAAATCCAGGACTATACACAGAGAAACCCTTCTCAAAAAAAACAAAAAAAGATGAAAATCATAGACATCTGAAGTTGGCCTTATGTGCACGCAGCTGTACACCTGTGTGTACACACATCCCAAATGGGAACATAATGAAGGTGATGGTGATTTATTTAGATAGTTGGTCCATTTAATCCCAGCCCTTGGGAGGCAGAGGCCAGCAGAGATACAGACAAAAATGAATGAATGAAGAAAAGAAAATTTATGCCCTGGCAATGCTGAAACATGCATGTATGCTGAAACAGCCAGTATGGTGGTTCTATGGAATTTGTCCATACTGAGTTTCATGGTCTAAGTAGATGAGAACAACTGAGCAGGTCTTTTCCTCAAGAGGGCACCAGATCTCATTATAGATGGTTGTAAGCCACCAAGTGGTTGCTGGGAACTGAACTTCAGACCTTTGGAAGAACAGGCAGTGCTCTTAACCACTGAACAATCTCTCTAGCCCTGTCATGAAAATCAAAACAGCAAAAAATAACAACAACAACAAAAAAAACCCATAATAGACAGTTGGTCTATACCCTGCCTCTTCCAGTCTATGTCCTCACACCTCCCACGGTTTTATTCCTATTTGAGTGTGATAGAAGACCCAAAAATGGGTTAGACATGGTAGCATATGCCTTTTAATCTCAGCACTGACTGTCAGACGCAGGCAAATCTCTGTGAGTTAAAGGCCAGACTGGTCTGCATACTGAATTCCATGACAGCTAAAGCTACGTACATACATGCCTGTGTCAAAAAACAAAACAAAATGTGTGTTTATGATGGTACTTTGAAAATACACTTCCAGTGCGAGCAAAGCCAAGGTGTTGAAGATGACATGCATCAGCACTTGAGAGGCTAGGGAGGAGTTCCAGGTCAGTCTGGGTTACTACATGGAACCTGTCTCCAGTAGTAGGGTGGGGGGAAACCCAGTTAATCAAATTAGTTGTAACTTTTAGATTATAGTCAATTGTAAAGTTACATTAAAATATATACCAGCCCACTGCTTCCATTATTGAAAGTCAGCCATTCATCACTTTTGTTTCAGTTCAACACTTGGGGTAGCACCGTTGTAGAGCATATAAAAGTGACCGCTTTAATTCTTCAGAAAAAAATAAGATAAAGTTAATAAAACTAGGCCGCATAAAGTATGATTTTTTTTTATAAGATACAAGAATAGTTCATTACTTTGAGTAAGCAATGGATATGACAATACAAGCCATCTACAAAGCTTGGAGTGTCACCTCTATCAAACTGAGCCATGTATTTTCTGCTGAGAATAAAAATTCAATAACTAAAATCTTCCAGGACTTAAATTTTAAAAAAAAAGTAGGAAAAATAAAATATTTTCTTGGTTTTTTTTGTTTACTTATTTTGTAATTTTTCATTATAATAAAAGTTAATGTTACTTATTTCAGTAGATTTAATAGGCAGTAGAAAAATCAAAACACAGATGATCATATCAAGAAAAGTTATTTTCAATGAGAATCTAGATGAATTTTAATATTTTGGCAAGCTAGTTTCTTTTAAGTAAACTTATCGGGAAGGTTTTGGGGATTTATTGTGTATTAACGATCATTGCTATAAATATTGTTATCAAGATAATCTCAAACATCTACAGATGTTTGTGTACATCAGAAACTGCTTTCTTGGGAATATAGTGTTTGTCCTCTCTTTAAAACTCAGCATGCAGCCGGGCAGTGGTGGCGCACGCCTTTAATCCCAGCACTCGGGAGGCAGAGACAGGCGGATCTCTGTGAGTTCGAGGCCAGCTTGGTCTACAAGAGCTAGTTCCAGGACAGGCTCCAAAGCCACAGAGAAACCCTGTCTCACCAACATTCAAGAGGTAGAGACAGGCCGATCTTTGTGAGTTCGAGCCAGCCTAGTCTGTATACAAGAGCTAGTTCAAGGACACCCAGGGCTGTTACATAGAGAAACCCTGTCTCAAAAAAACAAAGACAAACAAAAAGACTCACCATGTTTTAGTTGGGACTTAGAGAAAAGCCAGTAACAGATCACTGCCAGGATATTTTACAACTTACTTGTATTTGCTATCCATTCTGAGTCATTTATCTTAATAGTTCCAGTTAGCTGATGCTGAACCCACCAAGGTGTAGGAAATCCTGTATACCTGATAGGTTTATTTGAAAAATATAGTGACTGGTTATTTTTAAATGCCTGAAATTAATTTATGTACTGACACTTAGAAATCATTTTATTTGTACTTTTAAGACCATACTTTTACTTCAAAATTAAAAGGAAAGAAATAAGAAAAACAAGTACAATAGTAATTCTCTGTAAATTTTATAAAACCTTAGCTGTGCTTGATAGTGGCTTCTGGGTTTTGGTTTTTGTAACAAAGTAGCAAGTAGAAAGGAAGAGGGTGGGACATGTGGGTCTCACACACTCAAGTGTGCATTTCTGTCTCTCAAGGAAAACCCCCACCTCAAGATTCAAGACAGCAGTTTTGGATGGGATGGTGTCTGTGGAAAGCCGAACCTCCACAGTCAGGACAGACCACAGTGAATGTATGTATCATTTTAGTGTTTTGAATCAAGACTTCAGTACTTAATATTACTAGGTTTTTCTTTTCTCAATTCTTCTCCTCTGGCCAGCTTCCCTGGAGTAAAACATTCTAATATCAAGAGACTCTTAAGAATAGGAATCTCAGCTGAGCATGGTGACACATACCCTTCCTTAATCCTAGCACTCAGGAGGCAGAGGCCTGCTGATCTCTGTGAGTTCAAGGACAGCTTGGTCTACAGAGCAAGTTCCAGGACAGCCAGGATTGTTAAACAGAGAAACCCTGCTCGAAAAACCATAATAATAATAGGATAAGAATCTCAGTGAATTTTTTGGACATAGTTTTATACTTTCCTTTGGAACAGGAAGGAATAGCAAAATAAATCACCAGTTTATAGCAGTGTATTCAGGAAATCAATAAATATATTAAGTACTTAAAATTTTTAATATAGTTTGTTTTAAACAAATAAGAGCATGGTATTTTTACTCTGGGGATTCCAGTCAGATCAAGGGAAGCAAACATGGAATATCTACTCCCAGACACATTTCACATTTATCAGCTCATTTAATCTTCCTAACACTGTGCTTTGATGGGGTTGTCCAGGTCTAGAGCTCATACCCCTCCTGACCTATCATAGTATGAGTAATATATAGGGCAAGCTTGAGAATTTTGTCCCAAGATTAAGAATAAGAAATGCATTAGGCATAGCGTCTCATGCCTTTAATCCTAGTACTTTATAAATCCTGGACCATTCTGGATTTTATGGTATTTTGTTTGGTTCTGACAAACAAAGGTTGTTTGGAGTGCAGAGCTTTCACTAATTAACCAGGAAGTGGTGGCGCACACCTTTAAAATCACAGCACTTGGGAGGAGGAAGCAGGAAGATTAGGAGTTAGCTGGGCAGTGGTTGTGCATTCCTTTGATCCCAGCACTAGGGAGTTAGAGGCAGGAATATAAGGCATAGAGAGACAGGATCTCGTCCATTCAGTCTGAGGATTCGTGGAGACAGGGCTTGTCCCCATTTGGTCTGAGATTTCTGAGAGGTAAGAAGTCTAGTGGCTGCTGCTGCTGCTTCTCTGATCTCCAGGTAAGCTTTATTTGTCAGAATACAAACAAAATATTATAGCATGGTAACTCCAATATAGCCAGGACTATTTCATATAGAGACCCTGTCTCTAAAGCAAACAACAAAAAGAATGTGAAATGTGATATATGTTTATTGTAAAATAATTTAGTGGAAATTCCCAACATGTAAAGTAAAAGACAGATTCTTTAGGCTCTGTTACCAGTTTAAGTTGTCTTCTTCCTGAACTTCGTTGTTTTTCCCCGTGTATGGAAAGAGAAGATAGCAATGTAACTGCAGAACTGGCAGATCTAGCTGAGACTGCTTCAGGTTCTTAACTCAGGTCTGTACTGACTGAGCTATTCCTGGGTGTGTTTTGTCTGATGAATATTATTTTCATGTGAAATGTTAGAGTAATGTTTGGCACTCATTAAAAAACTAGTGCATGCTACCTGCTATTATGAATATCATTACATCATCAGTACGTTTTATTCAACAAAAATCTTTTAGAATATTTAATACTTTTTCCATAGTATTAATGCATATATTAGCCTGTCCTTTAATATTGTACCCTGTCATTGAAAGAGGATGTTCTATGATAAGTTTAACTAGCTTTTGCTAAACACTTGATCATGATATTTTTGTTATTGTTTCATTATTTTTTAGTTGGTGTCATATTTCTTTTGGGTAGACATAGCTTAGAGGGTCAAAGACCACACACAGACTTCTGGTATTTTATTGGGCTTCTCCCCCCCCCCAATAATGGTTGGTGTGCTTCTTGTATTGAGAGGGGGAGGTGAGTTATGGTGCCAAAGACGGGTATGAATCATCTCTTGTTGCGCTAATAATTACATTCTAGGGATACAAATGCCACTGTGTTAAAAAGTATAGGGGTATTTATTAATTAGGCTAAATATATACACCGTTTTCCCCCTTGAGGTTATTGTGTTTTGTATCGGTCACAGATTCCAAGCCTCATACAAAACTTAGATTAAAAGAAAAATGAAAGGGATTTCCTCTTAGGTGGGCCATAAACTTATGAAGTGCCAGAGAAGATGTCTGTACTTACTAGAGTGCTTTCTCCCAAAAGAAGACACCGTCCATTAAGTCCAGGTTGCAGATCTCTTGTAGACTTCTGCTGACTCAGTGAGGATGACTGGTTCTCTAGACACCTGAGTCCCTTAGAGCAGTTTTCATCATAGTAAATGTTTGCAAGGATTGGGTTCCAATTCAGGAAGGCCAGTGTGGTTTGCAAGTGTGAAGTTTATCTTCTGTGTTTGCCTTTGTGGGGAGTGTGTATATATTGTTTCAACTTGATACTGTCCAAGAAAATGGGGACCCACAGATGTGTCTTCCTGAAGATGTCACAAACCTTCTGACACCATATTCAGATACTCTCAAGTTTAGGTAATCTGTTGCTTTCGAATTATATGAATCAAGGTTTTGGTTTTGGAATGTAAGAAGTTACTTTTTTGTTTGTTTTTTCCAGCTGTTGCCAATATGGTTGAAGATGGTGGAAGCTCTGGGCCCGCTGCCTCCAAGTGCCCTGTTACCTCTGATCAGAAACTAGCGTTAAACCTAAAAGAAGATGATGCAATAGAAGAAGCTGATGTACGTGTTGACTTACCAGAAGAAAACCCTCAAGTTTCTGTCAGTCCTCCTGATACTCAAGAAATTCATGTAAAAATATTAATTTTTTAATGCTTTATAGTTTTCATTTATTTGGGCTTTAAAAAGATAATCACTTAAACTTAGTGTATTCATTTGACAATAGCATAAAGATCTGCTCAAAAAATAAATATATAAATACTTTCTGGAATATAAAATAGCATAATTTCTAAGAGATTGATTTTTATGAAAAAACAAATGATTATTTTAAGACACAATTTAGCAATTTTTTTTCTTATTTGCTTTAAATGGAAGTTTTTTAGCTATTAGTGAACATAGTGATTATTGACATTTAGAGTCCATGTGTGGTAAATGAATATAGTCAAACAGGATCTCCTGCATATCTGTGGGAGAAAGACACTAAGTTTCTTTACTGCTTGATAGGACTTCCTGCTTTCATAAAATCTTACCAAATCCCTTTCATTATCAAGGGAACTTTCAGTAAATGAATTTAAAATTAAAGGCCAACTCTTCTAATCATTCTAACTGCTTATAAAAATCTAATTGTGTAGAATTTGGGGGCATTATTTATAAATCCATCCACATTTATCTTTATAAGTTTTCTCTCCCTGAAATAAATGACACTAAATTTCCTATTTCTTCAGCTCAGAGGCTAACAAATGTGGGTGTAGTGTAACGGAACTCCTCACTTCTAGGTTGTGTCCAGCCTATCAGCTCTCTATGGGGAAGTGGGAAAATGTCTTTGTCTAGGTGGGTGATAATGTCTTCCTTCTTGGTCAGGAGATCTCTCTGTTACTTTCTACCTCCTCCTTTTTCTCCCCTTCCCTTACCAAAAGGTAAATGCAAGGACCATTCCTTCTTCCACCAAACCCTTGCAGGAGAGTTACTGAACTTGACAGCCTTAGGAATTTCATGGTTTGTGCAACCCCAGCAAAGGGAAGAAGATTGAGTCTAGCCCAAGGGAGCTTATGTAGGTGAATTGTTCTTCAACCTTATGGGGATCATGCTGTTTAGAAAAGTGTGGATAGTTAGGTAATTTGGGAATTATTGTATGGGGTTATTTCCTTTTCTCTGATTAAGTTTTTTTTGTTTTTTGTTTTGGATTAAGAGTCTAAGTCTTTAATTTTCTTAGAATTGTTAGCATAGTGATTTTCAAAATTTTATTAGTACTATCTTTTTAACTAAAGAAATGTGAAATTTCTAGTTTAATTCCAACCGTAATCTCAATATTTTTTCTGTGTAGTTATTTTGACTGAGTTTTCATTTCTTAAGTGAATATTTCATGAAGTAAACCCATTAGCATATGCCATAAGTATAGTTTGTATTGTAAAATGGACACACAAAGAATGAGGTCATCATTAAAATCCTGTATGCTTTAAGTTAAAATGTATTTTATAGTTCATTAACTAGTTTCTTACCTTTAATTTATTTTAGCAAATTGAACATGGAAAACCTGAAGCTCAAAATTCAGAAGAAGAAGTCAAGAGCATTTCATTTAATGAGTTGTATCCCTCAGGAACACTTAAACTCCAGTATAATTTTGATACTATTGAGCAGCAGTTTTGTGACATGCCTGACGATAAAGACTCTGCTGAATGTGATATCGCTGAAGTGGATGGGGAACTTTTTGTGGCCCAGAGCAACTTTACCTTGATATTGGAAGGTGAAGAAGGAGATGTTGAGGCAAGTGACTCTTCAGCAATGAATCCATTATCAAAAGCAGCTAACGTAGCAACCAAGGAAAAACTTTTGTCCCGAGCTGAACCTGATAATCAAGAACATGTTACAGATTTGCCATCTGCTATAACAGGTGACCAAGAATCCCACAAGGTAGAGACTTTACCATATGTGCCTGAACCAATTAAAGTGGCAATTGCAGAAAATTTGTTGGATGTAATTAAAGACACGAGAAGTAAAGAAGCAACTTCAGCAGCAGTGGAACAGGTTGTTCATGAAGAGGTAGTATTAATAAGCCCAAAGGTTACACGTTCCTCCACGTTAACAAAATCTTCACTGAAGACTATACAGAAAACAGGTGCCGAGACTAAAAATACCAGCCAGGGTGATGATAGGCTTTCTAGTAGAACTCGCACAAGAAGGCAGTGTGCCCAAAACTTGGATGTCACATCAGAACAACAGGAGTCCTCAGCAATTGCTACTCCTAAGAAAGCTGGGAAAGTGAAAGAACTTCCTGGGTCTTCTGACAGTGCCTATTCCAGTATAAACGTAGCATATGAGACCCAGCTAACCTCTCAGAATTCTCTCACTCCTAGGAGAGGAAGGAAGAAAAGGGAAGTTAGCCAAAGCACATTAGCAAGCCTTGATGCTGTAGAGCAGGAGCCACAGGATCTGCCGGAGCCAGCCCCTGAAATAACACCTTCTAGAACAGAAGTCAAACTCTCATCTGCTAGAAAAGGGACCCCGAGAAGACTTAAGAAATCTATAGAAAATGGACACAGTGCCGAAATTGTAAAAGATATAAACATTAGTGATGCAGCAATCCATAGTGGTACTATCAAAAAGATGAGGAATGCTAACTTAGGAGATTCTCAAAATGTGGGATATAAACAAGAGGAGGAACCCAGTGACCAACAGCTGCTTCTAAAACGAAGAAGGGTCAGACAAGGAGAAGTCAGTGTGTCGAGTGTGGTAGAAGAGCCTACACTTGATTCATCCCAATTGCCGATTCAAACAAAATTTGATATCCCAGCCACACCTAGGAAACGTGGTAGACCAAGGAAGGTAGTGCCATTAGAAGATGGCAGCTCCAAGGGTGTTGAGGGACAGACAAGCCCCCAGAAGACAGAAGTTCCAAGTGTCCGAAGATCTACACGGAACACCCCAGCGAGAAATGTGAGTACTTTAGAAAAATCCATTTTGGTGCCAAATGAGGAAGTTGCTATAGTGATGACCTCAAATAAAAGGCCTAGAAAGAAGTCTGCAAATGAAAGCCAAAAAGATCCGTTACCAGCAATTTCAGACTTCGAGACTGAAACAACCGACAAAGAGCCAGCTGACCAAGAAGAAAGATTGCTTGCGGCTGCGACTTTGACTAAATCTTCCTGGAGCACAAGGACTAGGTCTAGAAAAAACATGTTGTTGATGGACTTTTCCGAACCCAAAGCTAAAACGTCATTTTCTCCTCCTTTGGTGAAGGATCCAAAAAAAGTAAAAGGTATCTCATTTTACTCATTGTTACCTTATTTAGAATGCACAACCTAATATTTGGTAGTTTAAAAGCACTATTTGAGTTCATTATTCGATTTGAAGCATTGTGTTTTTCCTTAGAAAAAAATGTTTATAATTAAGAGACAACACCCCCACCCCCAAAAAATAAACCCTCAGATAAAATTGATCTAAACGTTTGTTTCCTAGCTGATCTTCAGAGTCAAGATTATCCAGAGATATTCTGTCTGGCTTCCTGTATCCAAGAGTCCATTTTACCTAGGCTTTATTTTGTTCTGTTTCTCTTCATTCTGCCCTTATATCTAAGTGACTTAATTTTGTTTCCCCTCAAATACAACTCTTTTTGAGCTGGATAATGGTGGCACATAGTTTAATCCCAGCTGATCTCCATGAGTTCAAGGCCAGCCTGGTGGTCTACAGATCAAGTTCCAGGGCAGCCAGGGCTACACAGAGAAACCCTGTCTAGAAAAACTTGAGAGAGGGGCTGGAGAGATGGCTCAGAGGTTAAGAGCATTGCTTGCTCTTCCAAAGGTCCTGAGTTCAATTCCCAGCAACCACATGGTGGCTCACAACCATCTGTAATGGGGTCTGGTGCCCTCTTCTGGCCTGCAAACATACACACAGACAGAATATTGTATACATACATACATAAATAAATAAATAAATAAATATTTAAAAAAAAAGAAAGAAAAACTTGAGGGAGGGAGGAGAGAGAAGAAAACCAAGGAAAGGTCTTTTGTAGCCCATTCTAGCCTTGAACTCACTGTGTAACCGAGAATTACTTTGAATTCCTGATCCTCCTTCTTTTGCTTCCCAAGTGCTAGGATTACAGGTATGTGCCACCTATGTGGCCTAGAATCATCGTTATTTTTTCTTTTATTTTCTTTTCTTTTATTTTTTTTGTTGTTGTTGAAGTACCATAGCTTTTGGCTTATATCCCAGTGATAGCCACAGATCCAAATTGCTTTGTGGGCAATTATCAACATTTTATGGCCGGATCGACAGAAATAAGTCTGTACTCACTGTTACCATGTCTCATGCATAATTTCTCATTGTCTTTAATGAGCATGTCACATGGTTGATGAAACTAGCATTTTCTCAAGGATGATAACTCTCCTTGTACATCAAGTAAGAAGTAGGTATAGAGGGTATCTGTGGTAGTCAAACCTCTGTGGGAGAAGTGCTGTACAAATGTCCAGAGGATGACTAGAAAGAGGCTCAGACTAGTGTAGGTGTCATTCGAATAATACTTCGTAAAGTTCGTTTTAGTAATTACAGTTAGGCATGCAATATATGATTGTCTCCTGACGTGAATTTCAGAAAAGCAATTGATAGCTTTATTCATTTAAGAACTGTAATGTATAAGGCAACGCCTGTGTAGTTGCCACCAGGCTACGTGGAAAATAAGCTACCATGGACTAATGGAGAGCCAGCTCCTAGACTGCATCCAAGGTATTGAAAGAAATCCATATCTGAGGGGGTTAGGAAAAAGGAACAAACACACACTTTCCCGATGGTTTCAGTCTTTCATGTTGGAGTCTGTTCTGCCTCAAGTTTCTGCCAGCTCTCTTTGTTCTTTTAGCTGATAGAGACCCACACAATCTTTCAGACATTACATCGAAGGTCACATACCATTTCCTGAGTAAATGGTAAGAAACAGTCATTCCAACAACTCACAGAGCAGTAAATCCAGATAACCTGTCAGATAGCAAGAAGAGAGCACTTTCTTCTAGTTAACTCTCTAATTAGTGGGTGCAACCCTCAGCTACAAAAGAAATCTTTGTTATCTGTAGAGGTAGCCTTATAAAACTAAACTACTAAGGAGACTAAAAGAAATAAGAATTGTGTGCTATATCCTATACTTCTGAGTGTATAAACATCTTAAACATTTTGTGTTTAGTGGTCATAGAGGCCGGACTTTTCTCGAACTGTGAGACAGTTTACAAAGAAATTGTGTTGTCAGAGCAAAGCTGAGAGGCCTTCACAACCCAAGCTGCAGGGCAGGGGGTGGGGCACAAGCACAGATAAGCCTACTAGACGTTCACCAAGGCACAGTGACATTAAAAGCATTTTAAATCTTAAAGTATTTTTGTCCTGCATGTAACCCTTGACCATAAAAAAGAAGACTTGTAACTCTTTCTCAGGGCTATGAAGTTAGTTTATATTTTGTAGCCCTGTTCAGTTAGAGAATCTTTTCTCATGGAATCTGATCAAAGGTCAATAAGACCTAGGCAAGAGTTTGTACAGAGAAGTAATCACTGTCCTCTGGCCTTGCAGTTAAGTTACTTCTCACTATTTACCTTGGCTCAACAAATCAGACAGCTGGCTACATGTCCTTGTAAATGAGATTGTTTTTTTCTGCAAATAGTTTATCTTAAAACCAATTAGCAAGGCACCTGGTCTGATCTAAAGCTACTTTGAAGTTTTTTATCAGTTGATAAGTATATAGCTATCTTGGCAGCTGGGGAAAATACAGCTGTTTTCTTAAGCTTTGTTCCAAGATAGTTCTTTTTTTTTTTCCATTTTTTTATTGAGAAAAGGAGGAAAAAAAAAACAAGTTTCCACCTCCTCCCAGCCTCCCATTTCCCTCCCCCTCCTCCCACCCTTCTCCGCCTCTCCCCACTCCTCTCCCCCTCCCTCTCCAGTCCAAAGAGCAGTCAGGGTTCCCTTCCCTGTGGTAAGTCCTAGGTCCTCCCCTCTCTGTCCATTTCTAGGAAGGTGAACATCCAAACTGGCTAGGCTCCCACAGAGCCAGCACATTACGTAGGTTCAAAACCCCGTGCCATTGTCCTTGGCTTCTCATCAGCCCTCATTGTTCGCCATGCTCAGAGAGTCCAGTTTTATCCCATGCTTTTTCAGTCACAGTCCAGCTGGCCTTGGTGAGCTCCCAATAGATCAGCTCCACTGTCTCAGTGGGTGGGTGTACCCCTCGTGGTCCCTCCAAGATAGTTCTTAATGGAAACTTATAACCTCTGACTTGGGTAGCATCTTTTTGTATTTATTTCATTCATTAAAATTCTGTATAGGCTGTATGGGCTAACATTATTAATTAATATCAATTAGACAATACAGCTAAGGAGGAGCCACCTTCTTGACAATCTACAGATAAAGATGCCCAGTAGATCAGGATAGTATTCATGAGATATACATTAGAATACAGACTGGGGATTTCCCCATAGCTACTAGGAAAAGCATGCAATTTAGCACATGTAAAATTATGAACAGAAGCAAAAGATATTCCTGAGTGTGTATTTCTTGCAGGCTTTGCAAAGAATGAATTTCCTCCATCAGAAGTTATTTCTAGTGAGTTGACACCTTGAATATTAATTGTGATCTGCTGTAATAAATGATAATGGCTCTCAGCATTAAGCCATTTAAAAATCTTCCATTGTCAGGCGATAGTAGAACACACCTTTAATACCAGGACTTGGGAGGCAGAAGCAGGTGAATCTCTGTGAGTTTGAGGCCAGCCTGGTCTACAGAGTGAGTTCCAGGATAGCCAGGGCTACACAGAGAAACCTTGTCTTTAAAAGGCTCAAAGCAACAAAGCTAAAAAAAGAAAGTTTGAAAATGGAAAACAGTGAAATTGGTAAAATGCTGTTAATATTTGTATTTTCTCTAGAGTTTAAAGTATAGGAAATAACATTTTTGTTATGCTAACTTAGAATAATATAACATCTTAGTTATTCTTTGTCATCTTAACATAATTTTCTATATAGCTGTTTTTCTGTTAAAAATAGTACACATCTACTATAGAAAATTAGATAATAAAACATATCTTCTAGTACATGAATGATCTTAGCAGTCATAAATGTTCTTTGCTTAAAGAGTAAGCAGAATAAGCAAGGCATGTAACACCTATAGTCCCAGTGCCAAGACCCTGTATCAAAACACACACTGCAGTTTCATGAGCACGTGCATTTCCCTTATTTCATCATCTTTCACAAGTACCCATGGAAGAGTTAGCATTTGAGCAGATTCTCCAGCCTTGTGCAGAGATGGACATTAGATGCTTTTCCAGTGAACCTGGAAAAGACTGGCTAGTCAGCAGCCTTTGGGATCCTGCTATTTTTGCCTCCCAGCACTGGGAGTATAGGCACTTAGCACTTTGTCCAGCGTTTTAAATGACCGCTGGGGCTCTAAACTCAGGTCCTCGTGCTTGCACAAGTTTACCCGTGAGCCACCTCCCCAGTCCTCGGTTCCAGATAATCATAGTCTTCAAAACCCTAAGTATTTATGGCACTGTGGTTTTGGGGTCTGCTTGGATTTTGTCGCATGTGGCATTTAATCTCACTAATATTCCACAGGTGCTTAAACATCTTCCTATGGGATATTTTCATGTTTTGAGGTTTTCTGTGTTAAAAATGGGTACCTTTTATTAGGTAGGTGGAGGTACTGTACATAAAGCATTTGAAAATCAGGGTCTCATTTTGTTTGAAGTTGGCCATAATGGAATCATTTGACCACAAAAAGTAGTTAATGTTGCCAATCAGAGCTACATTTTTTCTGCCTTTTCCCAGAGAGCTGTTTCCCAGCACAATACTGGATTTGCATTTTGGTCTTATAATTTTAGTTTGTTAATCCTAACTAGTCCTGGTTGTCAAAGTGTTTGCCAGATGTTTGAAGAGGTAGATGAAGCATTGTCTCACAATATAGTAAAGTTTTGTCCATGCCCTAAAAGAGGCATGTGGGAGAAACAGTGAATAGGCCAAACATTTTCATACATGATACTGAATTCTTAAATTTCTCTTCTGAGTCCCAAGAAATGAATGGGGAAACTTAGGTGGACTGTGAAGTGCTCTGAGAAAGCCAAAGTTGTTGTTCCGGGTGGTCTACCTAGAAAGAGCGTTATGAAATCGGGCAGATTTGTATTTTTAGCAATAGGAAGAGTATCTCACCATTAGTGGCCTGAAGTGAAATTTTTGCCTCTTATAAGCTGGAAGTGAGGATGTCAGATGCTGCCAGTGTTTTTCTTTTTTGTTAAGAGCCATGGCTTTTGTGGGCTGGGGAGATAGCTCAGTCAGTAAAACACTTGACTCTCAAATTTGAAGACATGAGTCTGGATCCCCACGATCCATGGCAAAAAGCTGGCATGGTGCACACACCCAACAGTGGTGAGATGCAGGGGCAGAGGCAGGATGCTCCTGTACCTGGGTTAGTTGTGGTAAAGTTCCAGTGAGAGACCTATGTCAACCAAAAGGTGGAAGACACCTGAGGACCAGCACCCAAGACTGTCCTCTGACATCCATAGATGCACAACTACTTCCGCACAAGAATACATAGAGTCATGGTTGGGGTTTGTTTTTTTGGTTTGGTGAGTAGTGGTAGCATTTGCTTTGTTTGAGGTAAGATCGGGCCAGCTGGGCCCCAGACTTGTCATTTTCTTGCCTCTACCTCCACTGAAACTTTTGGACCTTCTTGTCCAGCAAGAGTCACAATAGCAGGATTTGACATCTGATGTTGGTCAACCAGTCGGTGTGCCTGCCTATCATACAGACTTCTTGTTTATAAAGCTCTTGCTATATGCATCAGATTGTTCTGATCTTCTCATCACAACGCTGAAATCATTGTCATCTGTATCTATTTTTTATTAGCTAAGGCACTGCTAGTGAGTCCAAACTCTGGCATGTAATGTCTGAGTGGCACACAGCACCGCTGCTTCCACAGTCACAGTGTCATGCTAGGGAGACGCTATTTCAAAGCTTCAAAGTAGAGTCAGCATGTACATACTTTTAATTGTATGTTGAGTCAGTTTCTCTTTAAGATGTCATTAACATGTATTAGTTATACATATGTATTTTATTATCATTTTCGTATATGTATATAATGTATTTTCATTATATTCAGCCCACCTCCCTTACCTTTTTCTCCCCTCTCTCTTAGCTGGTTCCTCTGTTTATTTTACTTTTTTATTTTTATTTTGTGTGATTCAATTAGAAAGTGGTTTGCAGGAACATGACCACCATATTACCAAAGGCCACACCACTGGGTAAAAACTATCTCCACCTCCCCCATCAACTTAAAACCTCAGGGAGGGGTAGGGCCCAATGAGCCCCTCCCCCAAATCAATTCTTAAACTAGTCTCCATCTGTGTTACAGCCTCCTGTCTCTCGCTTAACTTTTTTTGGTTTTTCGAGACAGGGTTTCTCTGTATTGGTTTGGAGCCTGGAACTAGCTCTTGAAGACCAGGCTGGCCTCGAACTCGCAGAGATCTGCCTGGCTCTCCCAAGTGCTGGGATTAAAGGCGTGCGCCACCACCGCCCAGCTAGCCTTTTGCTTTTCTGATGTGAACTTTTTTTGTTGCCCCTGCTTGACTAGACCAAGTAGCTCAAAATAAGGAAGCTAGAGATTTTAAAGTGAGTCTTTTCTTGCAAATAAAATTTGCTGTCTAATACAAACCTCATCTAGAAACTAAGACTCACACTTTCTCATGGGATTCATGCTTTCCTGAGAGTAGCCGAGGAGCGCTGAGGGTCAAACTAATAGGAATAGTTTATACTGCCTGGAGTCCTATCTTTATGTGGGGGCAATTATTTAGTTTGGAGCCTAAAATATTTATGAACATTTGATTGACATAATGATAATGGGATTTTTTTTTACATCATTTTTCTCTGCCGACATGGGTAATAAATTTATATGTTGTACTATCTTGGTTGGGGATTTTTTTTCTTTCTAGTGTGTATCATTTGCTTCAAGATTTTTGATGTAGTGTATATAATTGCCTTATGTTATCATTGTTTTTAAACCATGTATAGTTATAGGTAAATGTTTTGTTTCCCATTTGTCTTTAGCTGCTGCCCAGCTGAAAGAACTGGTATCAGATTTATCTTCTCAGTTTGTTGTCTCCCCTCCTGCTTTGAGAACCAGGAGGAAAAGTGTGTCCAGCACATCCAAGCTTCTAGATGAACTGGTAAGAAATGCTTGAATATATATATATTTAAACATCCTCTGTGCATATTTATTATTTTTCTTTTTTGTTTTGTTTATTTGAGATTGACACTATACCTCAGGATTGTCTTAAAGTCGTGATCTTGCCTCTGGTTCCTGAGTGTTGAGATTGCAAAAATTTTAAGTGAATTTCTCCAAAGTAAAATTTGTTGAAAAATAAATTTATTTAAGGATAATGTGTGCCAGAAAGACGGCTCGGCAGTTACGCACACTTAGCTATTCTTGCAAGGGACTCGGGTTCAGTTTTCAGCTCACAGCCTCCAGCTCCATCCATTTCTAGAAGAGGAGATCCAGTGCTCTCTTCTGGCCTCCTGGGACACCAGACATGGATGTGGTACACATGTAGGCAAAATACTCAAGACACATAAAATTAAAAAAAAAAATTATTATTTAAGAAAGGTTATTTGCGGCTGGTGGTGGTGGTACATGCCTTTAGTCCCAGCACTTGGGAGACAGAGGCAGGAGGATCTCTGTGAGTGTAAGGACAGCCTGGGCTACACAGAAAAACCTGTCTCAAAAACAAAGAAGAAAGGTAATTTGCATTTATATTAAAAGTACGAAACTCCTGTTTACTACCTTCGGGACAGATAGATCTATGGTGTGTTGTTCCAGACACCCATTAGAATGACAGTTTTAAAATTAAAGTGATTGCCTGGGACGATGACATGCACCCATAATCCCATGGCTCAAGGCAGACCTAGGCAGCTCTCTTGAGTTCAACTCCAGCCTGCTCTACATACTAAGTCTTAGGCCAACCAGGGATGTATAGTGAGACCACCCCAAAGTTATCTGGTTGTTTTTGTAAGATATTGATATGTCATTCAAAGAGTATCCTTAAAGAGAAAGTTTCAGAATTGAGTACACAGCCTTAAGATAGACATTTTTCATAGATTAAATGTCAGTTGTTTTTACTTATAAGCATGAATTAGATTATATTCCATGAGCCAGTTACTATGCAACAAAAATAATTGATTAAAATGCAGTTTAATTGACAAAATGAGTAATTAGTTTGTATAAAGTCTCTTGGCTCAAGTACCTCTACATGTATAGGGAGATGGAGGCAGAAAAGGCAACAGCAGGCAGGGATTCAGAAGCATGGCTGGGTGGTGGCTACAGAGCAAGACATGTACAGGTGTCAGGTAATTTCTGTACAAAGTATTCTGGGAAGGAAGAAACCCATCTCCGGCGACCCTGCACCTGCAAGATGGTGAGAGCCTGGACTTCGAGCTGAAGCTGTATTAGCTCAGGGAGGTGGACAGTGAGAGCATTCCAAGTGAGGTTGTGACAAGTCTTGGGGAGCGAGAGGGCTTTCTAGGACCTAGGGATTTTAGAGATGGTTGACTCCTCTAGCAGGATACTTTTTTTGGTTTGTTTGGTTTGGTTTTTTGTTTTGTTTTGTTTTGTTTTTTTCTTTCTCAATAACGGTTTCTCTGTAGCCCTGGCTGGCCAGGAACTTGCTCTGTATAGCGGACTGGCCTCAGACTCAGATTTGCCTACCCCCGCCTCCCAAGTGCTGTGGTTAAAGGTGTGGGCCAAACAGGATACTTTTAGAATCAGACTTTACATGCCTTTAGTCCCAGCACTCGGGGGAGGAAGGTGGATCTCTGGGTTTGAGGCCAGCCTGGTCTACAGAGTGAGTTCCAGGTCAGCCAGAGAAAGAGAAACTGACAGAGAAACCCTGTCTTGAAATTAAAAACAGAAAAATTTAATTGCTTAGACAATTTATATTTTCTAATTTTTAATCCATAGGAGAGTGATCCTAAACCGTTAGAAATCATAGAACAAAAAGCAAAAAGAAGCAGGACCATGAAGACGAGAGCAAGCAGGTAAGCAGCTGTGCTCTGTGGTCTCTCCACTCATTGTCTAGGGGCTTCTCAGACATGCCTGGCACCAGTAGAGAGAGCCCAGTGCTGAGGGGTGGCCTAAAGATAGTTTGTTGTCCACTGGGTGTGATTGGGAGAGAAGATTGTTACCTTTTTTATTAGTAAGGAATTATAACTTTAGAGTCTACGGTTGTTTTCCTGCTAGCAATATACTGCATCTGTGGTCAAATTAGATATTTTTGTTTGACAGTATTCTGTTCCTGTTGTATTTAGGTGTGGGCAAATTTAATAAGCATACAAATTAATAAATATGATGCAGTTGACTAATGACCCTGCTCACATGTAAAATTGTCTGTGTTTATTGACACACACGCACCAGTTGCTACTGTTTTTGAGTACTGTCCCATCCCACCCATCCCTTTTGTGGCACAGTGCTGCACACCTAAAGCTGAGCCCTGAATTTCCTTTTGATTTTCTCTAGACTGGGTCTTTAGAACATGTAGCCTTGGCTAGGCTGGAGCTTGCTAGGTAAAGCAGGCCAACCTCAGACTCAACAGCTGTCCTCCTACCTCTCTTACTGAGCACTGGGATTTCTTAAGTTCTCTGACCTGCTGGCTCTCCTCCCGTGAACTAACCATAGGACATAGCACAGTAGTATCTTACACGGACATGTATGAATATGTCAGCACATACCGGGAAGGGTTGTGGGGTTGACACCTTAACCTTGCCTGCCCTTAGCCCTCACCTCTCTGCAGAGTGCTGCGCTGTGCCTGCTCCTACTTGAGGGTATCTCTCTTTCAGAAACACGGAGAAAGAAAGTTCTTGGTCACCTCCCCCTGTGGAAATTAAGCTGATATCTCCCTTGGCCAGCCCAGTTGATGAAAGAAAGATCAGCAAACGAAGAAAAACTACAGAAGTAGCAGGAAAAACTATTGGAAGGGGCAAAAAGAAGCTGTCTTCCTTTCCAAAGCAAATTTTACGCAGGAAAATGCTGTAATTTTTAGCCCAAGATTTTAACGTGCACCTGTTTGTGGCGTCATCAGTATTTGTGTGGGTTATTAAAGGTCATCTAATTTGAAAGGAAATAATTTATATAAATTGTACAATTTTGTAAACAAGTAAATAAGTAAAGTAGCTCCATATGGAGTATGGTTCTTCTAGTCCAGGCATTTTATAAAACTTCTTACGTTTATATGATATGTAAATATGGCTTATTATTGGGATGTTAAATAAACTGCTGTAAAGTATACACTGTGTGTCTGTTAGATTTTTGAGAGGGAATTTCTGTCTTAGTCGTGATTTTATATGCTACTAGATATTTGTCCATTTTCTTTCTCTGTTGATATAGAACCAGTCTTAAATGAGGGTGATTGACTGTTGGTTATTTTTTAAAGTTGCTCTTTTATAATTTATGCACTTTGAACCTGTTACTCAGATTTCTAATCGTCACATGTACTTTCCTGGGCTTTGCCTGGCACTGTGTTGAATTTGGTTTGTGGGCATGTGATTTTGCCTTTTTATAGTTTTACAAATTTTGTGTAATCTACCTCAAAAGAGTAATTTTCCAGTAATGCATTGGTTAACTATAATGCTGGCATTTCTTGTTCAGTAACTTTAAAGACTATCCTGTCTCTCAATTTAGAGACTAGTTATCCAGGTTAGATTGACCGGTTCACTGCTTCTTAGCAACCTCATGAAAGGATTTGAGAAATAAATGTGAATACTCAGTCCACCTGGTGTGTGCCTGGCGTTGAGAAGAGGAGCCCGGACAGACTGTAGACACCCATGCTGTGCAAGCTACGGAATCACAGAAGCCTCCTAGTATTCAGGTTTAAAACTGCAATGACCAAGGACCTCAGGCCCAGATCTGCAGAGTGGAAGAGTGTGAGTAGATGTGGAAGGAGAGACAGACGCCCTCTTCTGTTCTGCAGTGTGAGTGTGCACAAGTTATGGCACTCGATGGAGGCTAGGAAATCCATCAATAAATAAGTGTTGTTGAATAATCTATGACAGGACCCTTAATAATTGATACCTAGAAACAGACTGCCTTTGTCAGCTAAGCTTTGGGTGTTTTCGTGTGGAGTGTAGCAGTGTGCTTTGTGTGTTATTTTTCTATCAAATAGCATTATGGATAATGAGGAAATGGGGGAAACGCCTGTGCCGAGCACGGACAGTGTGAGAGTAGCAGTGCGCGTGCGGCCTTTCAGCCAGGTCAGTCCATGTTCATTGCCTTGGTGACAATAACTGCCTGATTTTATTCATTTTTTAATAACGGTTCCTGAATTTGTATTTAAGCTGCTTGTCATTTATGAAATATTGAACTTATTTAAATGAATTTGTCAAATGAATAACAAAGATCTAAGCATAATTTAGTAAATAATTTCATTCCTTGGTACAAGTAGCACAATAAAAAAAACTGACAAGAGAAATACTGTCAAGTTAATAATTATTTAAGCCGATGCAGTTTGGTACATAGAAATGTGTGGTGTCTGCTTTTCATACGTGTATGGGGGCAGAGATGTAGCTCAGTCGATAGAGTGCTCACCCACCGTGTGTTGACACTAGGGTGACTCTCCAGCCCTCTGTCAAACTAGACATGGGGAGGGAGAGGCAGCCGACTGGAAGCTGTCATCCTTGGCTGTGTTGGGCATTCAAGACCAGCTTGGGCTACATGAAGCCCTGTCTCAAAAACACTCAGAAAAGTGTATCTGCTTTCATAAAAGTAGGTCTTGTCGTGTGGACACGTGATCCCCACACAGCATACAGTAGGAGAATCAAGTTTAAGACCTAAGTCATGAGACCATGCAGAGACACAGTGTTAATGGGTTTGTGTGCAAATCTATAGCTTTTTGTGGAGTCTGCTCTTGAGATCTCGTGTACATGAGGCCGCCCCTTCCCCTTGGCTGTGTCTCATCCTGCACTGTCCATACCACACAGATCAGAAGCCTCCAGGCATAAGCCCCTCTGCAGGAGTGGGGAATGCCGCAGGAAGAGAGAGGATACTGTGCTGTAATGAGCTTGCCAGGCAGAGAACTGCGCTGTGCCCATTGTGACCACTGGAGCCTGCTGTCCGCCCTTTGTCTTTGCCCACTGTAACCAGTGAGTTTTGTTGCTTTACAACTACCAGAAAATGCTGGTTCTAAAGGGAAGTATCCAGGGGACTGGAGAGATGGCTCAGTGGTTTAGGGCACTGGCTGCTCTTGGAGAAGACCCGGCACGTACATGGGGACCAGCAACTATCCATAACTCCAGTTCCAGGACCTTTGGTGCCCTCTTAACCTCCATGGGCACCAGGCATGCACATAATACCGGCAAAACAGACACAAATCTAGGAATTTTTAAATCAATAAAGGGTAAGTGTCGAGTTGATTTTTTGCTTCTTTCCAAAGCTGGGACCAAAAACCTAGAGGTACTTTTTGTCCTGTTCTTGCCTTGCTCATGAATCTGCAAATGGCGCCAACTTGACTGATTGGCAAGGAGGCACTCAGTTACCTCCTGTGGCAGTGGCCCTTTAAAATGCTTCCTATGGAGACCATCCCAACCCCATGTGGCTGCTCCTGTGGGCATAGACATCACACTACATGAGCAAGGAGAATCTTTGCCATACAGATGAGAAGTGTACACTTTATACACTACACACAACACACGCACCCCATGTCACCCCTAGGAATGTCTCAGATATCTTGAGCTACCAACTCATACCCTCATGGGTAGATGGGTTGAGTGCATTATTTCCTGTGTCCTCTGAAGGGTTCCGGTCTTCACCGGTTAGCAGTGTCACCATAGCAGAGTCTGGTCTTACCAGCAAGGAAGGGTACCAAGTTCCCAGGCAATCTGCTGAGTGGCTTGTGTGGCTTACTCTAGAGCAGGACCTAGACCGTCCAGTTCTATGGACACTATAGATATACCACCTGATGTCAGGGCGGTGCGCACAAGACCAAGAGAAGGCGCAGGTTCCTCCCGCACCTGTGTATGGTTGGGATGGGAGGTTGTCTGGCTGAGTTCCACAAGTCATGTCCCATCCTCTATTCGGTCAGCCTCTCCATGGGAGCATCAGGTTCATCCGGCAGCTTATATTGTCTGTGTTTACTGTGAGCCTCCTCGTGTTGTATTAAATGCTTTGGATAGGAAATGTCCCCCACAGGCCTGCATGTCAGAATGTTTGCTTCCCAGAGATTGTGGAGCCTTTGGGACCTAGGGCCTCGCTGGCCTTTGAAAGCTACGAAGACCTTCAGCTTGAGCTTACTTAGAGCCCCATCATTGCTTCCTGATCTGCTACAAACTCTTGCCCACCAGTCCCCGAGCTATCCCACCATCACACCTAACCCACATAGTGACCTGAAACAGCCCAAGTAAGCCCTTCCCTTAAATTGCTTTGCTTAAGTACTTTGTCATGGGCATGAAAAAACTAAGTACTACAGGGTCTGGAGGAGGTCAAGGGTCAATATTGCCTTTACAGCCTGTTTTCCCTTTCCCATATCTAAAATGTATTTCCTAATAGAATACCTACCTCCCAGAATGTTCTGAGGGACCAGGGATATTAGTACAAACTAGAATGGCACAAAACACTTGTTTTTCTTTGATGGTCTTACCCCGTCCACCAGTTACTTTATGTGACCTAGAAAGCATCCTCAGTTGCCGTGAGCCCGTGTGCCTTCAGCACCTGTGTCCACCAGGTGGACACATTCCTTGTCGTCATAGGCCCAGTGCAATAGTGAGTTCCTTGGGAGGTCCGAGTCACCCTCTAAAGCTTATTCTGAGATAAAATCTTGGCTCCACTTCTTATAATGTGGAGTTGGGAGCCCATTCCTCTGCCCTACAAGATGCTTCACCCTTTACGGGGGTAGCAGACTGGAAAGGTGAGAACTACGATTTGGACTTAACGTCCCGTCTGCTCAGCTACCAAGATTACACGGGGTTATCTTTTTCCTGGAGTCCGGGAATGGAACAAATCACACACCACCATTCCTGTTCTCTAGCCCACGTGCCACCCACCCTCCCTTTTTTCCCTTTGTATATTTGACTGTTCTTTCTGTTGTCAAGTTTTATGGCAGGTTGTGCCCAGTTTCTCAAAGGCCACCAATAATAACCTTGTCCACATCATAAACTGGGCTTCATTACTTTTCTTATAGTGACAAAACACCATGGCCAAGGCCACTTTTAAAAGGTAGCATTAAATTTGGGGACTCATGGGACTGGAGCAGTAGCTGAGAGACATGTTAAGACAACAACCACAGGCAGAAGAGAGCCAACTGGAATGATCGGACTTTTGAAACCTCAGAGCTCACCCCGAGTGACACAGCTCCTAAGTCCAAGCAGGTCAACCAACTGGGGACCAAGCATTCAAAAGTGAGCCTGGGGGCTGGAGAGATGGCTCAGAGGTTAAGAGCATTGCCTGCTCTTCCAAAGGTCCTGAGTTCAATTCCCAGCAACCACATGGTGGCTCACAACCATCTGTAATGGAGTCTGGTATCCTCTTCTGGCCTGAAGGCATACACACAGACAGAATATTGTATACATAATAAATAAATATTAAAAAAAGAATAAAAATAAAATTATTCCATGTATGTTTACGTTGGAAATGGTCATATACAATGGCACAGCCAGGAGACCTGGTAAGCATTTAAAAAAAAAAAAAAGTGAGCCTGTAGGGGTCATTCTCATTTAAAAACCACGTGAGCAGAGCCCATGCCATGCCAATTGGGAACCAAACATTCAAATATGAGCCTATAGGGGCCATTCTCATCCAAACCACCACAAGTGGTCGGGACACGTGACTTCTTCCAGCAGGAGTGCACTAATTCTGAATTTATAACCTGACTATAGAGAGAGAAGAGCTCTGGAAGCCAATGTGTGATTTCCATGCATTCCCAAAGCACCACCATCCGAGACCCTAAGAACGGAGAGCATCTGAAGACCTTCACCTTTGACCTGGCCTATTGGTCTCATGATGGCTTTCAAAAGGACAAAGATGGTGTCCTTATTCCATCCAATCCGACC